CCCCCCCCCCCCCCACACAACACACAGGTGTGTACCTTCGAATGCGGAGCCTGAAATACCACATGGCCGCCAGAAACACCACGGCCGTCAGCACCGTGCCCACTTCAAATAACAGGAATATCCAGTCGTCCCGATACCGATGCAGCTCCCCCAGCAGTACCGGGGGACTCCTGTCTCTGATCTTCATCTTCCTGGCCCACTCGGGCAGCTTCGCCATCTCTTCCGTGACGTCGGCCCCCTCTGCAGTAGCGACCCTCAGCTGCAGGTATTTCTCGAGCGTCTTATACTGACCACCAACCATATATGGCGAGAGACACACAATGGGGAAGAGAAAGGAGTCTTGGTGCTTGTGCCGGTGTGTTTGGTGGCTGGCTGCATACTTACGTGCCAGAGGATGTAGACTCGCTGCGTGTCTTGGAGGGCCGCCTCCAGCGGCCCGCCCGAGTGCACCTTGACAACATCAATGCTGTTGTCCTGACAGACAGGGAGACAGACAGACAGACACTGTCTGCCTACAACCAAAGCTAAGCAGCCCGGCCCTGGCCTGTCTACTTAACCATGAGGAATGCGTTGAGGTTGGGGTATTTGGTGGTGTTGTAGACCACCTGTCCGACACCCACCGCCCACTGTGCGGCATACAGCCCCACGAACAGCATGCAGCCAAGGCCGATGTTCAGGAGCTTGGCGCGGTGTAGAGTGATAACCTTGATGACCCAGCCGCCACACGGCATCAACAGAATCAACAGAAACACCACAAGACAGCTCGTGAGGTCGCGCAGACACCTGTGTCAGTGACACCAATGGCATGCATCGCAGCCGAGGAACAGTGCGTCGATGTCTGTTTGTCTGTGTGTCTGTCTCCTGTGCTGTCTGTGCTGTCTGTCTGTCTCACCCGAAGAGGGAGTCTGACCACCGGCCGGACCACGCCTGCACATCGCCTTCAAAGTGGTAACCACACGACGGGCACGCTGCATTATATCGCAGTCATGCGAAGGCACACACACGTGAGTGCCATGGATGCCGTTTGCAATGGACACCGGTGCGATGGTTGATGAAGGGAGGCTGTTGCACAGCAGCATGCTCACCTGGGCCCGCGTTGAGGACTCTGGCGCTCTGCATTGATTGGGCCTACAATCCTCCAGCCTTGCCTCCAGCTCTGCCGATCTGCGAGCTTATAACCATTCGAAGGAAGATGTGGGGATCGCAACCTTTGGCATCGTTGCGTGTGGCCCAAGGGTGATGCGTTCATCGTCCGTCAGTGATGTGTGTGTAGAGTCCCAATCGCAACCACACAGCGGACAATCGATCGATCGATCAATCCACACGCCGCCGGACATGTCCAAACAACACCCCAACACAAACAGAGCGTCACGCTCAAGGGAAGGCAGTCAGTCCACACACACACACACACACACACACACAGCCGTTACGATCGATCACAGCCAGGCAGCCAGGCAGGCAGGCAGGCATGAGGTGGAGTGATGCACGCACATGCAGGCGAAAAGGTGCGAGAGAGTGCGAGGGTGTGTGAGTGTGCAGGCAGGAAAGGAGAGAGAGAGAGAGAGATACGATCGATGTGGATGGATGGCGAGCAGCAATTACTTCCCCTCCTGTGTGTTGGTGTGTGTGTGTGCCCTTGCCCATTCACGCATGCAATGTGTACACCCCACCACCGCCACACACCACAGCACACCACACCCAGCCGCCCAATCGCCCGGAGACGGAAGCCCGACAAGATGCCTCACGTCACGCGGGCGAGTGAAGCGCTTTAAAACCCCCTGGACATACCACCCCCGAAAAAGTCACAACCAGATCAGGCCACGCAGACGGAACTCATGTTTGCCAAAGAGGCATGCACCAGCCCGCTCTGCCTGGCCGCCTGACTGTGTGGCAGCTTGCGACAACACAAAATAGAAGAGAACGAACGCCTTGACTTAGGCCTGAAAACCAACACGCACGCACACAGACGGAGAGAGGACATCCATCCATCCATCCATATGAGAGGGAGAGAGGCCGTGTGTGTGTGTGCTCACCGTGCTGGAAGGAACAATAGGGTTGTTGGATCGATCATCGGCCGCGAGGCCCGCCCCGGGCCCCCCGCATTCCTCCTCTGTCCGCCCCTGCACCCCGGCCACGTCTGCCGGCATCGCCACGGCCAGCAGGCGGGCCGCCACCACGCCACCCACCACGCCCGCCGCCACGGTGGCCCGGCGAGTGGCTTGCCGGACTTCCCTCCCCTCCCCGGCCCCTCCCCGACGGCAAACCGCGCCCCTTCTCCCGATCGAAGTCGCGCCACGTCAGTCGACCGAATGGCGAGAGTACCGCCGCATACGGCGACGACGGCCCGGTCGGCTTGCCCTCAGCCCCCCGCTGATGATACGGGGTCTGGCCCTTGCTGCGGGCCTCGAGGCGCAGGAAGGCCTCGGCGGTGGTGATGGAGTCCATCTTGATGAATACGAAGGTGGGCGGCGAGAAGTGGGGGTTTGGGTTGGCCATGCGGCTGGCTGCGGGGCGCTCGATCTCCAACACCTTGCCGTTGGGGATGTGGTACTTGATGGCTTCGTTGAGTCGCTTCAGAAGTTTGTCGCAGTCCTTCTCGCTCAGCGTGTCGATGTCGTCGGGCGTGTCCGAGCAGAAGAGCCACTGGGAGGGCTCAATGGACCCCTGCAGCACCATAGGGGCCGCTCCGATGCCGGCACCGTTGCGGAACACCTGCTGCGGCCGCTCGCGACCGTGGCCGTGGCCGTGGGGATGGCCCCCCGCCCCTCCCCCTCCCCCCTGATGGCCGGATCCAGCACCATTCTGAAGGACAAACAGGCAGAGAAAGGTCATGAGATAGATAGATGGTGGGGCTTGTGGGGGTCGGTCTGTGCGTGTTGTGTGTCACCTGGGCTGGCTGTGCCTGGTGCTGGGGGCGTGGGTGTCGGGCCCGCGCCATCGAAACGCCTGGAAAGACAACAAGAACCGACAGACAGCCACGGTGGTCACGCGGGCAAGTGGATGTGAGTCCCCCGCCCCCCTCTGTCGCGCAATTGTGTGTCGCCTTACTTTCTTGGAGAGTTGGACCGGTGTTGTTGAGTGTGACCAGCGGGGCCGTGGCGACAACGGCACCCCCTGCACCTGACGACACATATAGTCACGCACATGTCATGCACGGCCATGGATGCGTCCTTGCTCTTTCCCTCTCTCCCTGCCCGCCTGCCTGCCTGCTTGCCTGCCTGGCTGGCTGGCTGGCTGGCCGTGCCTCCCACCTTCCCGCTTACGTGGCTGAACGACGACGGGCGGGCGGCCCACAACAACACCGACCTGGTTGGCTCCAGCAGCCTCGTCAGCCCCGTTAGTCGCATCCTGGCCCTCGCCTCCATCGCCATCCGCCGCCCCGTTCTCCTCCCCCTCAAACTCCCCGTCCTCGTCTGTCTCATCCTCATCCTCGTCATGCACCTCTTCGTCATTGTTGTCGGCGGGCGCCTCGGGGACCTCAGGCACCGGGGCAGCAGGGGTGGCCATGTCAGCCACCTGCTGCACAGGATCGCCCGCCGGCTGCTGGTGCGGGTCAGCAACTACTTGGCCATCGTGGCCTCCCTCCTGAGGGGCGGGCTGCTGTGGCTGCTGTGGCTGCTGTTGTGCCTGCTGCTGCTCGGGCTGCTGCTGTGGCTGCTGTGGCTGCTGCTGCTGCTCGGGCGATGGCGCGTTGTTGCCGCCACTCCCCCCGCTGCCGCCACTGCCGTTGCTGCCGTCTGAGGAGAGGGGCTCGAGAGGCGAGGACATGTTGCTGCTCCCGTTGGTGTTCTGCTGGCCGACCGACGTGGAGCGGATGCTGGTAGGGCCCAGGGGGAAACGAGGGCCGAATGCATGGCCGCCATAGTTGGGTGGGGCAAGGCCGCCCGCGGGCAAGGCCGGGTGCATGCCCCTATCGCGGAACTCCCCAGTGTCCTTGCTGACGAGAATGACGCAGCCCCCGTCCTCGACCGTGGGGACAAATGCCAACACAAACACGCGCTTGGCGGCCCAGAGGTGCCCGCTCAGCTGCAGGTGCATGCCCTCGACGCTCAGGCACCATCTGCCGGCCTCCCGGAAGACCGCCAACTGGAGGCCGTACATGCGGGAGTGCTTGAAGCGCGTCTCGTAGGCCTCGTAGACGCGGCGGATGTCAGCTATGCCGCGGGCCTCGTGCACCTCGCCACCGACGTCGGTCAAACGCATCTCAGAACCTGTTGGCAACAGACAGACAACACACAGACAACACAACACGGAATGGTGGGCCGATGCATCCCGCAGAGGCAGTCTCGCAGCTGTGCCGCTCACCAGGGTGGTAGAAGATCTCTGCGCAGGTCTCTGGCGCCTCGGACATGGTCTCCAGGAAGTGAGTAATCCAGGAGGCGATCAGGTTTTCGTACGTCAAGGCCATGGCGCCCTCAACAACGCGATAGAGGTCTCAGACCTCTCCCTGCTGCTCCCGGGCAGAGGGGCGGGAAGACGACAAGGAATCCCTCTATTCTGTGGCTGTGCACACACAGGGCAGGCCAACAGACAGGAATGCGCACAGGAACTTGCTCCCGAGGGCGTGAAAGGTGACGTGGCGTGGCATCATACCCGAACCAAAAATGAAAGAGAAAGACGACAGCCTAACTGTCCTCAGGACGGCCAACGTGATGATGAGCCAAAGGAAGGGCGCAGGGGAGCCATCAGACCGTCGTTTCAGCTCGCAAAGGGGCGAGCTTTTTTTTCGAGGGCGTTCGTTCGAAAGGGCCGGGAAGGGGACAATGCTTGAGGAGTGCTTGCGGCTAGTGGGAGCGAGCAGCGTCCAGGAATGGTGCCATCTCAGCTCCTGAGTCATCTCTTCAGCATCTGCAGGATGCGCAAGTCCGCAATCCACACCGGCAAGTCGGGCGCCGACCCAGCGCACCGCATCATCGAGTCAACAGTCGACAAGCGCACCGGATCTCCCACACAGGCACACTCCTTCTTCGGCTCCTTCATCGACGCCCTCAGCGGCCAGCGGCACAACAGGGCGGTCGAGCACGAGCAGCAGGAGTCGTTGCTGGAGGAGTTTGTCAACATCGGCGAGAGGGCCAAGGCGGCCGACCACCGGGGGGACGTTGCACAGGCCAGGCTGCTGTACCAGCAGGCTCTCGAGAAGGCGCGGCAGCTGCCCGCCTGCTACCCGCGGAAGGAGTCGGTGGACGAGGTGGTGCAGCGCTTTCGCCAGCGGCTGCGGGAGCTCACCACATCAAGTAGGACGGAGGGAGAATGAATGGGCGTTTGATGTCCTGACGCTGTGCTGTTTGGCCTGCCTGTGTCTGTGTCTGTGTAGGTCCTTCGTCTGCCCCTCCATATGCGACATCTCAGTCAGCAGGTGTGGCCCAGCGACGCAGGTCGGTCGCTGCGGGCGGGGCGGGGCGGGGAGCCGCCACACGACCCCCTGCTGCTGCCGGGGCGGGGGCAGCGGCACAACAGGTGAGTCCTCTCACAGGAACGGACCGATCAGCTTGCAATCTGTATGTGTGTGTGTGCGCGCGCGCGTGTGTGTGTGGTACGTCAGGTTGACGAGATGGAGCGTAAGATAGAGGAGAACATCATGGAGAGCACGGGCCATGTCGCATGGGACGATATCGGTGAGAAGACAAGACGACAGACAGTACACACGCGCGCACACACACGCGCCGACACACACACGGTGTACTTGGTGTGCCTTGTCTTGTGTTGTGGGTGTGCTGTGTGTGTCAGTTGGTTTGGATTTGGCAAAGAGTGTGTTGATGGAGACGATTGTGCTGCCGACACTCAACCCATCCGTATTCACTGGACTCAGGACACCACCAAAGGGTCAGTGCAGCGCCACGAACGACAGATGCATGGATGGAGGCATTGACCGACCGACCGACCGACCGACCAGCCGGCCGGCCAGCTGAGCACCTCTGTGTGCCCTGTGTGTGTGTATGTCTCAGGTGTGCTATTGTTTGGCCCTCCGGGTAATGGTAAGACGTTCATCGCCAGGGCGGTCGCGTCGCAGTGCAGGGTAAGATCATATTCGTCCCACACACACTGGCATGGACGACAGACAGACACCATTTGTGCCGTCTGTCTGTCTGTGTGTGTGTGTGTGTGTGGCACACAGGCGACGTTTTTCACGGTCTCAGCCTCCTCCCTCACCTCCAGATGGGTGAGAAGGAGAGAGAGGCACACACCGCACTGCAGCGATGGTGAGACGTCGCACTGGTCTGTCTGTTTGGTTGTGTCTGTCTGATGTGTGTGTGGATCAGTTTGGTGAGGGCGAGAAGCTTGTCCGTGCTCTGTTTGCTGTCGCCAGGAAGCGACAGCCATCGGTACAAGGCAGGCACACTCACACATGACTGGCAAGGCGGGGCGGGCAATCCAATCCCCTGAGTGTCCTGTCCTTGGTGTGTGTTGTCAGGTGGTGTTTATCGACGAGGTGGACTCCCTGCTGTCAGCCAGATCGCAGAGTGAGTGTGGTTACCACACACACAGACACAGATACACACACACACAGACACAGACACACACAACACCACCCCGTGTGATGTCCGATATTGTCTGCAGACGAGCATGACGCGATGCGGAGGCTCAAGACAGAATTCCTGGTGTGTAGGCTGGCACTGATTGACTGACATGCAAACGCATCCAAATAAGGGAACTGTCTGTCTGACTGTCTGTCTTTTCCTCGGTGGTGTGTGCATCAGATAGCTTTTGACGGCGTGACGTCGTCCAAGCAGGACCGAATCCTCGTCCTGGGTCAGGGAGGGAGTGTGTCAACATCGGCAGCAAGCAACCAACACACTGCCATCTCACTCTGGTGGCGCTTGTGTGTCCTTCCTTAATTCAGGCGCCACCAACCGCCCCATGGACCTGGACGAGGCAGCACTCAGGCGATTTGTAAGCCACACATACACACACAGCCGAGAGACACGACACACAAACAAGCCAGACAGACGGACAGACGGGAGACTGTGTGTGGGTCTTTGCTTGTTCTCATCAGCCGAAGCGGATCTTCATTCCTCTGCCGGAGCCTGGTGAGACACACGCGTCACATCGATCCCTGGGTGGCGCGACATCCATGTGTGGTGTTCCTGTCCGTTGGTGTGCGTCAGCGACCCGGAAGGCGCTGATTATGAAGCTGCTGGGCAAGAACAAACACGACCTCAAGGGACGGGCGCTCGACAGACTCGTGGCCGACACTGACGGTAGGCATGCAAACAACGCAACGCAGCCACACACGCACGCGTGTTAACAACACGTCGGCTTCGGTTTCTGTGTTGGTTCCTTCAGGTTACTCTGCGAGCGACCTGACGGCCCTGTGCTCGGAGGCATCACTCGGCCCCATAAGGTTCGGCGGCCGGCTTTGCTTTGCATGTCGCTGCATTAAGTCTATCTATCTGCCGCTATCTGCTGTCTGTCTGTCTGTGTCAGGGAGTACTCGAGCGACCCGGCAGCACTCGCACGGATCAGGCCAGAGCAGGTGAGCTGAGCGAGCTGGATAAAGGATAACGACAGACAACACGAGATGCCACTCACTGTATCAGCCATCCACTCCACTTACTGCCGCTCTCTGTGTGTCGCTGATGGACGTCTTGCCTGCAGCTGCGCGCCATAAAGTACTACGACTTCGAGTCCGCCCTGCAGATGATCAGGCCGTCCGTCTCCAAGGTCAGTCGAGTCTCACATACCTGTGAACCGAGCCCACATATCTACCTCTGGCCCCTGCTGACTGCGTTTCTTTGTGTCTTCAGGATGCCCTCGACCAGCTTGTTCGGTGGAACGAGCACTTTGGCGCATACAGTCCCGGATGACGATGACATGCGCACCGCGTCCATGGTGCCTGCCTATGTCGGTGCTGTGTCTGGGAGCGGGTCGATCTGGTGGAGGGCACATGAATGCAGGGGAATGTGTGTTTCTGCATGCCTTGGCTGTCGGTCGGCCGATTGCTGCTGCCGGGCCACCCCCGGGTGGGCTGCCGTGTGGGGATGGGCGGTTGGCTGGTTTGTCGGTTGGCGGCGTATTTGTGTAAGAGTGCCTGCCTTGTACAAACTGGACAGACAGACAGACAGACAGACAGAGGGTGGGGGCGTGGCGTTGGTTCATAAGTGAGTGAAGATGGTTTGGGAGACAGACAGACAGATGTCATGGCATTAGGACAGCAGACAGGAATGTCACTCCATAAATTATCAGATGCACTCACTCACCGCACGCATCTCGGTTCCACAAAAGGAGTCCGACTCATGACTGGATGGATGGACAAACACTCCAGCGATTGATAAGACACCCACACCCACACCAACAAACACACACACACACACACGCTAGTCTACAGCGGCCCTCACAACACCATCATTATGATCTCAGCTGGAATATAAATCTGACACTCGCGTCTCCACCCTGTCGCCCTGCAAACCACCGCACCCCACCCAATGAACCGATCAACCGAATCAATCAATCAATCTCCCGCATTCTCTCTCTCTTCCTCTCTGTCTGTCTCACCACAATGCGTGACACAAACTGCTCGGGCACTGGCAGCTCCACCTACACACACACGCACACACACACACGGCCAACCAACCCACCTCAATCAAGCACAAGTAAGTGCATGCCCATCCTGTGGGGGTGTGGGTTCTCTCATCTGTTCACTGACCAGGTCTAGGTCGTCATGTCCCTCTTTGGGGAAGGACACGGTCATTTCGCTGCTCTTGGAACTCACAATCTCCACAGCCTTGGACGCACGGGACATGTACAGCTGGCCACACCAAACAAACCCATGATGGACGGACGTCAGCCATGCAGACAGACACGTGACTCGCGAGCCAAGATTGGATTGGATTGGAGGGAGGCTTACATGGACGCCGGTGCATTTGTCGATGGCAACCGAGGGAACCCTGGCAGGCAGACAGACAAAGAGAAAGACAGACAGACAGACAGAGAGGCAAGGAGGCCGTGTGTGCGCAGTGTGCGTGGAGATGTGAGTGAGTGTGTCTGTCTGTGTCGGTGGTACCTACCTGCCCATGACTTGTATGTTGACATTTTCTGAGTTGACCACCTCCGCCACGGAGATGGCATCCTGACACACACACACACACACAGCTCACAGTTCCGTCCGATACGCATTAACACCCGCACGCCACGCCAGGCGCCCATGCCCACCTGTATGACGACGCTAGTGCGTTTGCACCGATCTGCAAACGCACGGACAACACGATTCCCGTACGCCATCAGAACAGCCAGCCCTCCTGCCAGGTGTCTGTCTGCCTGTCTTGCCTACCGATTGAGATGCTCTTGACCTTGCCCTTGACCTGCACACACACCACACACATATAAACACACGCACACGCAGAAGTGGTCTTCTCCACTGCCCATTGCCCATTGCCAGCCGGTCGGTCGTGTGTGTGCCCACCTGTATGGTGCTCTTGTGACAGTTTGCGATGTAGACGGACTGCTTCATGGTCGCCTCATCCAACACAAACACGCCGGGGAAGTCAATGTAATTCTCCTGCACAGGGAACAAACAAAGAAACGCGGAGGATACTGCTACTAGCAGAAGAGACGGCGTGGTGGTGTGTGTCCTGCTGACCACGATCCAGTTCTCACGCTCGATCTCACACCGTGTAGGCTTGATAGGCCTGGCATCCGCCTTGCCGCCATTGGCCGCTGGTAGACAGATGGAACAGAACGCTCACACTTACTAGTTCGTCACGCACCCCCAGTGCCATCCTCCTCCTCCTCCTCTCTGGCTGACCTGTCTGTCCGACATCCTTTGCCTCCTTGGCCGGCACCACAGCCTTCCTGTCAGTGCGGTTCTTGGTCTTCATGTCATCAGTCACGTGGCGCAAACCTGACACACATACAAACACCCGAACCAGCCTCTCTTTCTTTCTCTCGTCCCGCCTTCGCCCACCAGTGGTGCTGAAGGTCTTGAGCTCTCCCAGGACAGCTGTCAGACCACCACCACCACCACCACCTCCGGGAGCCTTGGGCTGCTCCACAGGCACTATCTTGGGCGGCGTCTGCCTGGGTGGTGGGGGGCGGGGCGGGGCGGCCTTGCCGGGCCTCGCTGGGGGGGCAGTGGAGGGAGCCAGGGATGGTGCTGGTGTAGGTGGTGGGACGGCCACGCCCCCTGTCGGCTTGGCTTTGTCGAGGGGGTGGTTCTGGAAGTAGCGGACGGGGTCGCTGCCCTGGGGGTTCCACGTCAGACCTGACGGATGGAAGGAGCAGAAACGATCTGGCGAAGTGGGTGGGGTTTGGTCGGGTCGGCTGGTGGGTTGATGTGGGTGTGGCTGGGCTAGATACCCATGTAGGTACCTACCTGTTTTGTAATATTCGCTGAGGAATGCCTTGAGTGCATTGAGGCCGCCCTTGACGCCCTTGACCCACGATGACTGGGCATCCTGCCTGAGCAGATGAGAACGAATAAATAGCAGTGACCGAAGGAATGCAATACGTCTGTTGTGGATGTGTGGTGGTTTACTTGAGCTTGAGCACTTTATTGCCGTGGAAGTCTGCAGTCTCGATGCACATCTGCACGTGATCGCCGGGGGCCTGCACGACAGTCATAACAGCACAAGCAAACAAAGACGATGACCATCCAGTGGCCCCCCGCCATCTGCATCTGTGCTGCTGTGCCGTTTGTTGGTGCGTACCGGTGTCCATATGCAGGTGAAGACGTTGAATGCCTCAGCGACAAACTTCTGGTGGGGGAAGTAGTCGCTGCGGTTGTCACACCGAGAGGCCAGATCCTTGCCCACACCTGACAATTATGCGTCAAATAAAGAGATTGTGTCTGGTCTGGATGTGGTGCCGTGCCCATTTTGTGTGTCCATCTCTTCTCTCACTGATGAAAGGCTGGAAGATGCCCTGAATTTCATCGTCTTTGGGCTTGCGGCAGACGAGGGCGCCCTCGAACACAGCACCAAGATACCCAAACCCTCGCACCAACGCGGCGGTCTGCCCACAAACACAACGCAACAAACCAGACCAAACACACCTCCCGCGCAAGTGTCCTCTGCTCCCCTCCTGTGGCTACTCACCCCCTCCTTGACGTCCTTGATGCCCGTGGCCTCTGCCAGCGCCCCCAGCAGCAATATGCTCTCCTCCACCATCTGTCGGTATGCCGCCACCTTCCTGTCGGTGTAGCCCTGTCGGCCGGCCGTGGGGCCGGCCGGAGGGGAGAGGGCGGCGAGGGCGGGTGAGGGTGAGGGCGTGGCGGGGTCTGGGGAGGCCGAGAGTGCGGGTGAAGCTTCAGGGATGATGGCCTGGAAGGACAGCCCGTTGTCGTTGTCCTTGTCAGGTGGGCACATCTGGAAGTAGAGGAGGGGGTCCATGCCGGTCTTGTTCCAAGACACACCTGACACATACCGATGCCCATACACCCATGTACGGCGAGACGACCAACACAAGGGGATGCACGCCCAAAAAGTGTATGCGACCGCACCTGTCTTGAAGTGCGCAATGGCCCATTTCTTGAGATCCAGAAGCACGCCTTCCACGGCCTTCACCCACGCCGTCTGTGTGGGGTCTCTGATGACACAGGCATCAGTGACACACACACGATGACAGGCCTCCCCTCGACGTGTGCTGTGCGGTCTCACTCACTTGAGCTTCAGGATCTTGATGCTGTGGAAGTTGGCCGCCTCGTAGAAGGTCTGGATGTGCTCAGAGGGATTCTATCGTACCGTGGCACCCAACACACCACACCACACCACACCACACAGCAATCAATATGCACACGTGACTGAAGTAGATCTGCTCCTGACATACCGGTGACCACACGAAGGACAGTGCACTGAGGGCCTCGCCGACGACCTTCTGGTGCAGGTCCAGGGGGCCGTGTTCGAACGCCTTCACCTCACGGGCAGCTTCTGACACCCATCACACGCATGGCATGGCATGGTAGCCACGCAGCCAAGGGAGATCGATCAGTGTCGTGTGCATACCGATGAATGGTGCGAAGATGATGCCCTTCTTGTCTTCGGGGTCGTGGCACGTCGCCACACCCACCAGCAGGGCGCGCAGCATGGCGATATGCCGGCAGTAAATGTCACTCTGCACACCCACCACAACACCACCACAATGCAACACTCGTCTGCCTCACCCACACTGCACTCAACTCACCAGTTTGCTCAGTTGGTCGCCCACGGCGCTGGCCTTGCCCTCGATGTCGGGCAGCCACCGCCCCTTGAGCTCGTCAAACTCCTTGACGAAATCCGGCAGCTCACCCGTGGCCGACGGCCGGTGATGCACAGACGGCAAAGGCGAGGGCGCCATCGATGTCGTGAGGATCCCCGCACTCTGGCCGGGCGCACGTGACTCACTCACCGTCGCTGCTGCGTTTGACTCGGCCCGCAGGAGGGCCGGGCTGGGTGCGTCCCGAACCACAGACTGCCAGAAGGGACACAAACAGATCGGATGAATGGGTGAGGCCCGTCATTGTGCTGTGTTTGTGGTGTGTGCGTGTGTGCGTTTCCGTACGTCTCTGTATGCCTCGAGTGACCGGGCGATGCCTTCGAGCCGCCCGACGACATCCTGCAGGTCTTGCAACTGAGATGTCTTCTCCGGCTCCATCGTGCGCACAAACAATCAGCTTGCTGGTCGCTGCTTCTCACAGGCGGTTGAGAGGCAGTTGACGGTCCGCTGCTGAAGCCTCAAGGGAGGAATCCGAAAGGTGCCGAAAAAAAGATGCCGTGACGAAGAGGCCGATTTGACTACAGATCTGCGGCGGATCTGAGGCACTTAACACGGCCGCTGTTTCGGGGGGAAGCAAAGGCCGCTGCACCACACCGCATTTGCGAGCTTGGATGAGGAACTGTTTGGTGAGTGTTGTCTGAGTGTGTGTGAGGATGGCGGCTACACCGCAGCACCTGTATGACGTCATGTGGTACTCATCCGCTTTCCTCGACCTGCCCGAACTCCTCAAGCTCGAGACAGGTGATCCCCACGAGCAAAGCAGCAAGGAGGAGGGTGGTGCACGGTGGAGAAAGGCCAGGAGGGCACACTGCTGAAGGCCCATGAATTGATCTGCCGCTCTTGTGGATGGTTTGTGTGCCGGGCAGTTTGCAAGCAGATCAGAGCCCTGCTGCACCCCAAGAACTCATCAGGCGTCTGGCAGCTACAGGTACCTGTGGCTGCACACGCGAGCACGGGCGCCTTGTACAGCCCCACACACATCCGTCCTTCGTTGATGCGTCCGTCCGTCTTTGTCTGTGAGGGCAGTATCGGCGCTCCTTCGGCAAGAAGACCAACATCAGACTCATCCAAGGCAGCGCCCACCACCCCCGCCCCTCACCGACAGCCGCAAACGCTTCCAAGTACACCCCTCTGCCTGAGGAATCCTACCGCGGTGCCCTTCGTCGAGGCACAGCGCTCAAGAACTTCGCTGTCAACCCATCTTTGGGTGAGCTGCGGTGGGGCCAGGCCAAGTGTGTGAATCCGAGGGATGAGATGAAGCGCAGCCGATCGAGCATCTTCGTCCTGCGCGGATATCTGTATGTGTTCGGTAAGTGCGGTAAGTAACCAACCACCATGCCTTATTCCCTTTTGCCGTACTGGCTGGCTGGCTTGTTTGTTACTGACTGCTATGGATCGTTTGTTTGTCTGTTTGGTCAACTATTAAATCAGGTGGTGTGGTTGGCGGCAGAGATGAGCACAAGAGCTACAAAACCGACCTATGGCGGTAAGTATGGGTACATGAAACACGCAATCACAGGCACTCACTATCTTTCTACCCATGCCTTGATTGACAGTTTGTCGTTGCTGTCCCTGCTCTGCACCGGCAAGTACAAGTGGCAGCAGTGTGTGGTCGACGGCACCCCGCCCGCATCGTCCGACTCCCTCACCCTCACATCCATCAACCTCGAATCGCCCCTCCCAACGCACACCGCCCGGCCACCGTGGCCACGACGCTTCTTTGCAGTGGGCGGGCCGACCGGCCCTCGTGATATGCGAGACAGGGACGACCTCTGGGGTGTGTTGGAGATCGATCGCAAGACCGGTGGAGATGAGCACGGTGGCAGCGTGCTGCAGTATCGGTGGTTGAGCAAGCGAGAGCTGCAGGAGGGCCAGCAGGAGGTCACCAAAAAACGACGAGTCTCTGCGCTCCATCGGTGGGCGAAAGGACGCAGAGAGCGGGAGAGAACGAAAGTGCGTCTGTGTTGGTTGATTGCAGTCGCTTCTTCACGGAGAACTTTCGACGCCACTTCACGTGTACGTTTGTGCCCATCCGGTCGTTGGCACACCCCAAGGGCTACATCTTCATCTTCGGCGGCAAAAGCAACACGACTGAGTGGGGCAGAGCAGCCAGTTGACCGACATAACGACGCATGCTATTCCCGTGTTGTCTGCTCCTCAGCGAAGCGTTGGATTCCTCGATCATCGTCGACGTGGCGACCTGGTCGTTCGACGACAAGTGAGAGCCTTCCATTCCCATTCCCCGCCACGACCACTCTCATATTGTCTGTCTGCCTGTCTGTCCGTGTCAGCGACGAGTAAGAAGCTCTCCCATTCGCCACCACAGCTGACCTTTGTCACCTTGTCTGTCTGTCTGTCTGTCTGTGCGTGTCAGGGATCATGAGTTGTTCGACCTCCACCCGACAGCCCGTCTGAACCACACGGCCACCCTCGTCAAAGACCGCTATGTCTTCATTATCGGCGGAGAAGGCAAGCTCAACCAATAGATGTGGTGTGTTCTCGTGCCAGCTGGAGTCAGACAGCGCCCCTTTTGGTTGTATACATGTATGGTGCAGAGTGGCACCTCGGGGACGGTGAGGATTTTTGGAACGGCGAGCCGCGTTTCGTACCTGCCCGTTTCGTGCAGCCTCCAAGGCTGGACATATTCGACGGAAATACCAAAAAGTTCGCCTCACCACATCGCTGGTTATGACACTGCCTCTTTGCCGTGCTGTGTGTGACAGGTGGATTCGATTCGATCGCCTCCCATGGACTGCCCGCGGCACCAACCCGAGTGTCGATGGTCAGTGACACTACCGGCTCACACGCAGATGCAATACACCTGATTTTCTTCTGGTCAGCGGCTGTCGGGCCCTACCTGCGGGGTGTGGACAAACGGCATCTCGAGCACCGATGTGACTTCGCCCGCCACACAGCTGTGCTGGCAGGTCAGTGGCAGGCAGGCAGGCAGGCAGGCTGGCGGAGTAGGAGAGGCTGGCACTTTTGTGTGTGTGGGCCTCTGTGTTGACTTGCAGGTGACAAGATCGTCATCAACTTGCCCTACGCCCACCACGAGGAGGCCGACCTCGGAGTGTTGGGGGGCCTCAAGACCATCACCTTCGACACCAAGACTGGCCGATTCAGCAAGCCGGCATTCGCCACACGGCCTCAGAAGATGTCCGCCACAGCCCCACCCCCCGGCACGACCCCGCATCCGACGCCAAGCCGCCCCTACAAGCCCTACGAGCCGCCGCCTGCAGCGTGTGCAGCTGCCGTGTGGACGGGCAGGTGGGTGGGTGCTGTATGCTGTATGCAAAGACGGACATGGTGACACTCCCGTCCATCCATGTCTTCGTTGGTTGCAGTGAGTTGATTCTGTACGGCGGTGGGAGTCTGCTGGATGAGGCGTGGAGGAAGGGCGACTTCGACCTAGAGTACGACAACGACGCCCGGCATGACCAGAAGAAGCACTCCGAGGTCAGTGTGCTGGGCGTGATGGATCGCAAAAGGACCAAAGACCAGATTGTACCCGTAGATCGATGCCAGGAGGAGGTACAGACACACAGGAGAGCATCTCCATCCCCTCGATCGGCTGCGTCGTTGTGCATTCATGTGTGCAGGTGTTGCCGTTCAGCCGTCGCTATGTGTGGAACCGCCAGCTGTGGCAGATGGACACGAGCGGAGATGATGCTCGCTTCGATGTCGACATGTGGGATGACGAAGAGCAGATCGAGCAGCAGTGGTATGAGGAGCGGCAGGCCATCGCCGAGAGCAAAGCCAAGGAGAGGCAGCAGCTGAGGGAGAGGGGGGTGGAGGTAGAGATAGAGAGCGGTGAGGGTGACGAGTGTGACGACATGGAGGGCTACACGTAGGAGGACATCAACGATCATCTGTGGGGCAAGCCACTGCCATACAACAAGGTCTTCGGCAAACCCATCACACCCACGCGCCACCAGGCCCTCCCCAAATTCTTCACTGTTACGGGGTAGGGCGAGAAGAAAAAAGACGCCGTCTGTCTAGCTCTCGGTGTGTCATGCATGTGTGTGTGTGTGTAGTGTATTGTCTGTGCAGCATACTTCGCAGCGACCCCATGCACTGGTGCCCACGACACGTCCACATCGAGCCAACAGGAGACAAGACGCCCATCATTGTCTGCTTGCTGCCCCTCTTCTCCACTGCAGGACGCTGCCGAAGGATGACTCGCGGGCCAACGCCACACAGACCAAAATCACCACATTCTTCCCGCCACCGTAGGGGCCAACCACACACCCAGACAGGCAGCTCACAGAGATCCATCCATCCATGCCTGTCTGTCTGTCTGTCTGTCTGGGTGCCTCGCCTCGTTCAGCCGTGTGAAGCCGCTTCTGGTGCAGTTATCGCTGACGGCGTTCTTCCCCCTGACGTCGGCGTGCCGCCAGACCATCAACTACGGATACAGAGGCACCAAGAGAAAGAGATCCGATCGATGAGTGAGGCGAAAACAGAGCTAGAGCTACCATTGACGGGAGAGAGGGAGGATGATTGCTGTGTGATGTGATGTGATGTGCATGCCCTCCCTGATGCAGATCAGCGCAGCAGTGCGGGTGGGGTGGTCACCATCGCAGCCAGCCAAGGGCTTGTAAATAGTAGCTATCCTTGGGTGTTGACGCCAGTGGGTGTGTGCGTGTGATCTGAACGGTTTTGACACAGTTCAGCGTGTGTGTATTTGTTGTCAATGGGTTGCGTGTCTATTGGTATGCCACACGGCTCACTGATTGGCCAGGTTGAACCGTGGCTGAAACGTCCTCCGCCTACAAGAGCGCGCTCACTGCCAACAGCTGCAGCAGCCAGCATCTGTCGGTCACACGCAAGGCGGGGGGACTCTCCCACTCTCTTGAGTTGCGAGCTCAAATGAGATCGTTGCTCAACAAAAAAGCGCTTGGAAGAGATGCTGCGGCTTGTGTGCATTGCCATATGGGTGGTGCATGCCTATGCCAAGCCGCACGGCCCGTCGGTCATCCCGCCTGAGAATCCAGGTGAGCCCCGTGACTTCAAAAAAGCACTCTTGAATGGATGGTGATGCGTGCCGCTGTAGATGACCCTGTTTATCTGCATCCGGGGCACTCGAAGTCTGTGCTGGTCATCGGCGGCGGCCTTGCCGGCCTCTCGGCAGCACTCGAGCTGGCAGAGAGGGGTGTCCGTGTGGTCCTGAAGGAGGTCGATGAATACGTCGGCGGCCGCGTCAAAGCCAGGCGCACTATCCCGAGGCATCATGGTGATTCAGATGAGCCGGGCTGGTTCAACGGGACGGTGTCGGTCGAGCATGGCTTCCATGCCTGGTTCAAGAACTATTATCAGATGAAGGTGAGCGGAGCGCGAAAGCCAGCCGCGTGTCGTGTTTGAATGGATCCATGCTCACTGCAGGACGTCCGTGACAGGTTAGGAGTGTCCCATCTCTACCGGCCGTGGCCGGCTGTCCACTATCGATTCAGACACTACAAGCCTGAAGTCATACACAGCGAGGTGCAAACACCAGAGGGCACGACGACGAGCGTTGTGAGTGCCTGTCATTGTCTTTGTGTGTTTATTGACGAAGGGCCCGTATCCGCTCAATCTGCTCCGCATCGTTCGCGAGAGCCCCAACCTGTCGGTGCTCGATGCCGTCAGGTCGCTTGGGAGCATCAAGGAGCTGGCATTCTTTGACTACACTACCGTCTTCAACAGGTGGGGACGGCAGATAAAATTGACGAGCCGCGCACTTGGTGTATGTGTGGATTTGTATGCTGTGCAGGCTTGATAATGTGACATTCGAGCAGTGGGCCAAGTCGGTGTCCATTTTGAAGAGGTTCTACGACATCATCTTCGCCCCGTCCCTCAGTGTGACGCTGAACGAGCGCGGGACGCTGTCGGCGGCAGAGATGCTCACATACCAGCAGCTGTACTTCCTCTCTGACCCTCATGCAAGCGACCGAGAGGTCAGCCACAATCACGCACAGACATAACCCGACTGCCCATCATTGCAGCTGCTGTGTCGGTCCTCTCTGTCTGCAGGTGGCCACAGCCGACTACGGGACTGCTCTACTCAATCCTTGGGTTGACCGCCTGCGGTCCCTCGGCGCCCAGGTCATCACCAATGCGTCCGTCGATGCTCTCGATGTCACGCTTGACCAACACAGTGGCGAACTGCGCGCAGCTGGAAGCGTCGATGTGGGTGGCGGCCACTATGATGGCGTGGTGATTGCTGCTGACCTGAAGGCCGTGCAGAGGATACTCAAGCGGACGGTCGAACACACGCAGAAGGATACGGCAGCGAGCCAAGCAAGTGAGACTGACATGAGTGCGCCGCATCACCAGCCGACAATCACGGAACCAATGTGTGTGCCTTGTCTCCGTGACTCCATTCATTCATTGTTCACTCAGTCCTCTCCCGTCTGTCAGCCCTGAGCGACCGCGTGAATGCCCTCCCCATCGCCCCCCCATACAAAGTCATCCGCGTGTGGCTCGACCAACCTCTCAATGCCGACCGGCCCGACATCATGGAGACGCCTGACTGGTCGCCCGTCAACCTCGTGGCGCAGTACCACATGCTGGAGGATGACGCCAGTGAGTGGGCGAAGCGGACCGGCGGGGCTGTGGTGGAGTTCCACTGCTACACCTGGACACGGCCAGACACGAGAGATGAGGAGGTGTGGGGGGTCATCCGACCAACGGTCGTCATGATCCTCCCAGAAGTAGAAGAGCGGTCCATCCGCGTTGTCGGCTACCACGTCGAGAGCCACCACAACTTCCCCTCTTTCAGCAGGGGCACCAACGCCGCCCGACCAAACTTCGATACGCCCCTCCAGCAGGCAAACATCACCAACCTCGCCTTTGCGGGCGACTGGCTGCGGCCCACATACCCATCTGCTCTGATGGAGAGGGCAGTGTCGACCGGTCGTCAGGCGGCCAACCTGTTGCTGAAGCGATTTGGTGTGCAGCAGGTGCCTTTGGTCGTGCCACCGACGAACGGGCCGGGGCTGCCGTTTGGTGCTGGTGTTGATGGTGGTAACACGAAAGGGGAGAGGGGAGGTAGGGGTACTGGTGGTGACGAGGCGTTGATTCATGCTTAGTGGGGGCTGGAGCTCTCGGCGCTCATTTGTGTGTGAATCGATGTGTAGTGTGAGATTGCTTATGTGTCTGTGTTGTCTCTTCCTTGTCCTCCTTGTACCTATGTATGGATGTGTGTGTGCGTGCATGGATTGTTTTTCCTGCACCCACCCACTGGGGGAGGACAGCGGCCCAAGGCCGCCTATGTGTGTGTGCGGCCGCCTATGAGTGTGTGCAGTGTGGATAGCTACAGCCGGACATCAACACATGTATGTATGTATGTACGTCATCATTCATGTGTAAAGTAAGGAATATGTCTCGTATATGTTTATGGGCTACAGTATGCCGCGGAAACCAGAAACCGGGATCAATTGTCAGTCGTTTGAATCGTTTACATTTACATGTAGAACCGTGAACCGGAATCAATTGTCTGTCTCAAATGACTGACATTTGATTTCCTGTCGATTGGACTAGGGTAAGTCAGGTGAAACGGTGTTGCCTGTGTGCGAACGTCCGGCAATCAAGTGCCGCCAAGAAACCACACCTTCTTCATCAACACACCCCGCACCTTCCTCTGCATCTCACGCCGTCACCACTTCCCCTATGGTTGGTTGCTGAGGCATGGCGGGGGCACCAGACCGTACCGAGGAGGAGATCCGGTGCGGCTGGAAGCATGAGTCCATTTCCCTTGAGGCCGCGCTCAAACAGGGTCTGGAGCACTGGCTCACGGTGAGCCTGAGGAAGCCTGCCATGCGCCACTACAACGCCACAGCTGTCAACACGGACAAGACCTACCATGCAAACGCCTACGTCGGCAACACTGGACAGGTCAGTCCGCCATGCAGCAGCCGCACATGGGTATGCCAAACAGATCGGGTGCGCGTGACGTGTGTGCAGCACGGAGTGACCATCATGGACGGCAAGGGCTTACGGGCACTCCTCCTCCTCAAGAAGGGCAAGCGGGGCTGGCGCTGGGACGACTCGAGCGTCGCCCGTCACATCTGGCCCCTCATGCAGCGGACCTACGGGCACGCCAAGCCACGCGACGTAAGCCAAGGATGGAACTGCGCATGTGTCAGCTCATGTATCAGTTTCTGTGCCAGTATGGATACTGCCCCACGTGCGGCGGCCACACACCTGTGCCCAAGCTCGAACCCAAGAGTGCCCAGACCGGGCAGGAATGAGACCATCTTCCTGCCTTGGGGCGCTGTCACGTAGACAGCACATAGCCGGCGCCCCCTAGAGATAGAAGGATGATGAGCGTTAGCAGCTGTGGATGGATCTGCCTAGGCGTCCATTGTGGCTTCTTTGCGTTCCGACTTCTAGCTACAGTCAGCAGCTTTTCGGGCGTAGATGTCATCCCGGGGTCTCACTTCATGTTGTCGATACTGGATGGTTACCCTAGTCCAATTGACAGCTAATCAAATGTCAGTCATTTGATTTTGAGTTAATGACAGGAGGAAGCGGTTCTCTAAATGTAAACGATTCAAACGACTGGCATTGATCCCTACTTTTCCTGGGATGCAGGGCTGGCCGCGCTCCCCTCCCCCCAGTTGCCTGGCAAGGCGATGTGTCCGGATGGGGGCAGGCAATACCGACCTACCCATTCATGTCAGTCGATGTCCGTGTGTTGCGTGGGCTGTTGCATGTGCATGTGGACATATATCGCATTCATTCATCTCCATCAATGTCTGATTATCGATCATTCAGCATACGTATGCATATGGGGGATATCTCTCTGTACACACATACACGCGCACGCACACGACACTCCTGCTGGGGCCTGCATGGATCTCTCCCACTTCACTGGGGCTCTTCGGCAGTGGCTGTGCCGCCTCCACCCTGCACTGCTGACACCGACACACCAGCAGCGGTGTCGTGTGCGCCCTCATCGACACCCGCCACCCCAACCTCTCCCGTCTGTTGTCTCTCCTGTCCACCCGGCCCCTCCTCCCTGTCTGCCTGCCCCTGCTCTTCGACCACCGGCGGCAGGCCCGCTCTGTTGTCGTCTTCGTGCTCTATCGTGGCGTAGATGCGCGCGGTGATCTCGAACTGCGACTCCTCGTCTATGTCGGTCCACTCGCTGTCCTCAACCATCACCACCCCCACCCCTCCAGCCCCACCGCGAGGCACAGCACCGTCACCCGAAGCGGCCACTGGGGGTGAGTTCTCGATGGTCATTGAAGGCGCCACCCGTGGCACCGCGTGCACGTGAGCTGTCACCTTGCCCTTCTCCGCCAGTAGGCGGAAGGGCGAAAGGCCGCCGCTTGCTGCCTTGGTGGGCCGCATGGATCGTCTGCTTGTCTTGGTGGCCTTGTGTATGTGTGTGGCGAGGGGGACGGTTGGGCGAGAGGTTCGCCGCCGCAACGGGACGGGCGGCTTAGGGGAGGCGGGCAGGGGGGTGGGGCGGGGGGACGGGTGGGGGTCGAGCCTGGCGAGCAGCGCTTTTCGCTTCCTCTGCAGTGTGGCGAGAGCGTCGAAGGTCGTCGCTGCCTCATCTGCAGCATACATACACAGGCACAGCATATGGCATGTGTCATCTGCAGTGGCTGCTGCCGTCACCAACCTGTTTTGGCCGTGCGGTCGATCTCTACGGTCTCGAAGCAGTGCGCCCAGTCGCTCACCGAGAAATGCATCCACTGAGACGTACACACAGCCTGACGAGAAACCAAGACACACATGCACACGCCACCTCCGAGACACCACGCAACGAGGGCAAGCCAGTGGACAGCTGAGCTGAGTGACCAGTTTGGCATCTGGGTCTAGTGAAGGGTCCGCCGCTTTGTGGATGGCCTCGAGCGCAGGGCTGGACCGCTGCTGCAGAGTCCACGCGATGCTGACACAGAAACAACAGAAAGAGGAACGAGGAACCGGGTGAGTGACAATGCCCGTGTGGTCATCAAGGTGCAGTCAATGCGTACGCGACGAGGGCATCGAGGTCGATTTCCATGCCAGTGGCCTTGAGGCTCCTCATCGGCATGCCACGACGCACCACATCACACACCTGACATGACATGACAGGCACACGGAGCAGAGGTGATGCACGGCCGTCAGCGTGAAGCGTGTCTGACGCACCTTGGGTATGACGCCTGCGAGTTTGGGGTTGCCCGACACATCCAGGTGCAGCAGCGGGCCACACGTGCGGGGAATGCGATCCAGCAGACGCTGATGACAGACAGGGACATCGACTCGACACACAGATTGGGTCTGAAGATGGTCTATAAACGGGTACCTACCTTGAGAAGCCGCCGAATCAACTCGCTATCAACTAAGCCGTTATTGCGCTGCCCATAATCCACACACACACGAATGAGGAAGATGCACAAACAGCGTCTCTGATGTATGGGTGCTTCAGTCCCGTGCTCACCAGCGACAATCGCGTCAGCCGCGGCAGGCCATTCATCAACACAGGAAGCAACACTGCAACACGCATACGGACCGATACCCCAATCACAGCGCGCCACCTGGCCACACCCCTCTGCCTTTCTTCGTTGATCAATCACCTTCTAGCCCTCGGTCGTCAAGTGAGCACCCGCCCAGCGCCAGAGCCTGCAACTTGGCGCATCCCGCATCCATGCGGCCGGGCGATGACATGCTGTCGCCACCCAGTATCTTGGCCAGGGCCTCCACACCGCCCACGGTGCCGCGACCGGACTGGTAACCCAGATGGATGCCTGAAGAGCAGAAACAAGGACGCAACTAAACAACATGTGTGGCTGCTTGGTGGAGTCACCTGATAGGTCGAGGCTCAGCAGGCATGGCGGCCGCTTGCTACGAGGGGAGACCGTCATGTGTGTGCCTAGCGAACTGATGAAGCATCAGGCAACACGTCGCTCGTCGTCATGATACAGGCAGGAAGTTGAGTGAGAGGCTGACCTGAGGAAGTGGAGAATGGCCGTGCTGTCCTCCACCAGGCTCTTCTTGTTGCGCACCCTCAGCGTGCGGGCGAGCGATGCCTTCTTGGTATCGCCTGCACCAACAGATGCATGCCAACGTGCATAAGTACCAATATGCGAGTGTGCATTCACCGCATATCTTTTCACCTGGCGAGGACTCATGGGAGGCCGTCAACGAGATCTGCGTCAAGGGAATAGGCTGCACAGACACACACACGCCCATACGCACAAATGTGTGCATGTATTCCTTCCTGAACAGCTATCTTACCAGCTTCAGAACCTCACACACGGGATCCAAGGCGCGAACCTCCAACAAATCTGTCATCAGTCAGTGAGATGCAAACAATGAATGAATGAATGAATGCAGAACTGTCGAGCTTAACTTACCGACTTCCAGTTGCAGTTCCTTTTTCTCCAGGCCAGCGACAACCTCAGGCAGCGGCTGCAGCGACAGTACTCCGCAGATGCGAACATACTGCCCGGCGGCTCTCGGCACTCGTCGGCTGCCGGCCACTCGGACGCGGCCTCCGGAGGCCGTCTGCCTCGCCTTGCCGGAATGCTTGGATGAGCCAGAGACCTTCATCTTCACGTTTCAGCTATTCCACACCTTCATCTTGACGTCAGCTATTCCATGATTGCTACTGGCGCGAGCTTGCAAGCCTTCGCGACCATCTGCAACACACGTGCACCGTCACCCACGTGACAGTGCACTCAGCAACGCAGAGCGCGTCAAGATCTCGGCGCCGGCTCGCCGAATCCCTTCCCCCACGCACCCCCAAATCGCCCAGCCTCCCCCTCTCCCTCCCTCCATCCCAGTCCCCCTCTCTCGCCTCCTGGCCATCTCAGCCCACCAAGATGCCCTTTGTCGAGGCCATCTTCGCTGTCGGCGCCGCCTTGGCCACCAAAGCGGCAGTGACGGCCGGTGGGGCCACGGCTGTCACGACGGCAGGCAGCGCTGTCACGGCGGCACCGGGGCTGGGGCTCATGTGCTTCGAGATGGCCACCATCTTCGTCGCCGGTGTGGTGACCATCCTGTGGCCAAAGGAGGAGACGACAGCCGCCAGTGAGCTCGCCATTGTCGGCCGCCCCTCTCTCTCGTCACCACAACCGCCCCGCCAGCCGCATCAGGGCCAACAAGGCGCGCATCACGGCCATCTACCCTCTATCAGGGTGAGAAGGAAGGGAAAGAGACGTCCGATGGGCCAAAATGAAAAGATCTGTATCGCATGGCGTTGAATTCATGATTGATCTCTCTCTTTCTGGTGTGTCTGTGCCTTCAGAATCTGCTGGTCAGCTCCCCTCCAAGCCAGATCGCCCGGGCGACCTTCGTCGTCATCGTCGTCATCGCCAGCGGCCGTTCCACACTCGGCCACGGGCGACTGGTTTGGAGAATCATGCTGTCGGGGGCCGGCAGACTCCTGCTGCTGCTGAAGCAGCGGATGGCAGGGCAGGGGGAGACACGGTCCGTCATCGACATGACGGATGAGGCCGGACGACAAGCAGCTCGCCAGGTACACAAAGGCGTGATACGGGAGTGAGAAAGACGTGTATACGAGCTGTGTGTTGTGGTGGATGGATTGATGGATTGCTGTAGATGCTGGCCCACCTGCATGCCATCCGTGCCGCCTCTGCTGCTACTGCTGCTGCTGCCCAGCCTGCTGAAGCTGCTGGAGAGCGCCGACGTGCCCTCCCTTCTGGGTACGAGACGATGTCGACGGTAAGCAACCAATGAGACGGATTCAGGCCTTTCAATCGATATCTTCGTGTCTGTGTGTAGGCTGAGACGTTCGGCGAGCGGAGCCCGGCGGCAGCATGTGCTATCTCCCCCACACCAGTAAGCAACCAACCAAGCAAAGAGAAAAATGCCTCCGTTGTGCCTCATCTTATTCTCATTGCTTTCCTTTTTATTCAGGCCCTCTGCATGTCCGCCAGTGCCCGCCCAGCCTTCAGCCTGCGCCCCGACGTGCTGCACCGCCCCCTGCACCGCTTCTTCGACACCGCGGCACTGCGGGCATCTCTGCCCTCCGTGGTCCAGCCCAACTGGGCGACCACGCCAACAGAGGCCATCTTCGGCCGTGCGCTGTCGCTGAAGACCGGCAGCTGCGGGCGTGTGGCCCGTTGCAAGGAGCACTCACCGGGTATGGAGGACGTGTTCTTTGCGGACGCGTCCACCAGCTCGGTGGCCATGTTCGACGGCGTCGGTGGGTTCTTCATTACCTACGGCGTCTCGTCATGGTTCGTCGCCAAGTCTTTGGCGACGGAGTGCTCCCTGGAGGCCCAGGCCGTCACCGCCAACGGGAGGGGGGTCTTCTATGGCGGGGAGGGCCTTCCCCGAAACCGGGCGGAGGCCATCATTCTGGGCGGCTGGCAGCTGGCGTCTCGCTGCGGGCGTGTGGGCGGCACAACGGCAGTTGTGGTGGCGCTGAGTGAGGAGGCGGAAGGGTCCATCTGCGCTAACATCCCCAACTTTGGCGACTCGGGCGCTATGGTGCTCCGTCGCCCCTCATCTCGGCAAGGGCTTGTGGAGATCCACCGGACGGCCCCTATGGTGGATCCCACCGAGCCCAACCGCCCCCTGGCCATGCTCCCACTGGCCACCAGCAGCAACGGCACGCCCACCCCCACCCCAACAGCTGACCAGCTGAAGACGCAGCAGACCATCAGCGTCGCCAGCGTGCCCGTCCGAGACAAGGACTGCATCGTGGTCTTCTCGGACGGGCTGAGCGACAACCTCTCCCCCACCACCATCGCACAAGTGCTGTCTCCCTTCGGCCCCACCAAGGACGCCAACGCGGCTGCCACGGCGCTGGTCGATGCTGCTGCCCGCGCAGCACACGACCCCAACAGCCGCACTCCCCATGGGGAGAGCAGAGGGCGGTCCGGAGGCAAGGACGACGATATCAGTGCATGTGTGGGGTGGGTGGTTGTCGATTACCCCTTCCTGCAGCAGAGGGAGAGGGGCGACGAGATGGGGGGAGATGAGCCGGTGGGTGAGGGGAGTGAGGCTGCAGACAGTGGGGGAGAGAGGGATGGGAATGGTGAGGGTGAGGGTGAGGGTGAGGGTCAGTCGAGGAGGCAGCGGTGGGCGGACATGTGTGAGGAGGGTGTGTGAGATTAGGACAGGTGGGCGGATTTCTCGGTGACTGACTGACTAATTGCACTTCGTGTGCGTCAGTCAGTGTGCATTTGTGGACTGACTGCATTTGTTTGTGTCGTGAGGGTCAGCCAACTCATAATAACCGTTCATTGGATCAATCCCATGTGCACATGACATGCATCACTGCATAAGAGTCAGCCACACAGATGCAGATGGATGAAGCAGCCCCGCCCATCTGTGTGAGTATGCACATGGCCATCCATCCATCCATCCATCCACCGACACACAGTCAGTCATCCCCCACCCTTATCTGATCTGTGGCCCCATGCCCCATGAATCGACCACATCAGTCTCGCGGTCCTCAACCACCTGCTGCAGAGGCTTCGGCAGCGTCATGTACAGCTGCGCCGAATGCCTGCATGTCACACCACACACACATGACGCATCACACGACACAACACACATGTGATAGGTGTGAGTTCCTCCGTCTGTCTGTCTGTCAGGCTGGCCCTTCCTCACTCACCGTTTGGCAAAGTAGATGAGTAGGGCGATGGCTTCGAAGAGGTTGCGGTTGCCCGGGGCGAGGGGCCAGGGCCGCGTGGTGGTTACCACCTCATAGCGGAGGGCGGGCAATGGGAAGCCCACCTGGTCCTCCAACTGACGCATATACAACACACGCGACCTGCACACAACACACAACACAAGCAAGGAGCGATCGTCAAGGCACATTTGTGTCCATCTCCCTCCCCTGCCTCACTCACCCAGCGCCACCCAGGCCCGTCCGTGTGAGAAACCCACTGCCATCCCCCGTCTGTGCGTATGCGCCCTCGCCACCACTCCCCCACCCCCATGTGGCCGACATGCCCGGCGGCTGCCCACTGCCAGCGGTGGCGGCCGCGGGCTGCACCGCACGCCAATTCTGACCTGAGAGAGCACCAGAGAGGCACACACAGAGGAAGATTGGATGATTCATGCATGTGTCGGTCGGCTTGGTGTGCGTGTGGGAATGGGTGATGGAATGGGTCAACTGGCGTGTTGTGTTACCTACCTGTCGCCTGATGCACATGTGCCTGCAGGAAGTTGGTGTACGTGTTGAGCAAACGCAGCAGCACGTTCTCGAGGATGTGCGAGTCGGTGGGGTAGCTCTCAGCCTCCCGATAGTCGTGCTTGTAGTGCCTGAGAAAGAAAGAAGCTCAAGACATACAACACAAATGCATACCCCTGTTGGTGTGTAGCAGGTGCCTCCCTCGTGGGTCGCCCCACTGATTCACTCACTTGACGAATCCATAGTCGGCGAACAGTCGCAGGCGCCGCAGCACATAGAGGCGGAGATCGGCTGGGTAGGACGGCGGGCGCAGGAACGACTCGATCACCTGACGCGTGTCCCACATATTCTGACCAGCCAGTAAGTATCAACACACACACATTCACATTGTCGGGCGTCGTCAATGGATCGTTTGTGTGTGTGTGTGTCACCATCCATCCATCCATCCATCTCCCATCTCACTGACCTTGAGCTGAACAGCCTCGAGATGGTTGAGGAGGTGTGGGGGCAGGCTCTTGCTCTGGATTGGCACGAGATTGGGGTCCGTCAGGCTGCCCGAGGCCCCGTCATAGTGCACGGACAGAGACTGCAGGCAGTGGGCAGACAGACAGGGAGTGGGGAGTGTATTCGCCCGCGAGCAGACTGTAGTTGGTTCTTACTTCGTATGAAAGGCGCGCGCCGAGTTTGCTGAGTGCCGACGTGAGCATCTGGTCCGACATCTGCAGATGAGCAACGTAGCCACGCAGCCACACCTGATTGAACGACACCATCACACACACACACATACAGATGGATGATGACACACACGACGACATCTTTCTCACCCACCCCGCCCCCCCACACACCTGCAGCCACTCCTGCAATTTACTGAGCCACTGGTCCATGACGGCCCTCCCCCCAACATGCTGGTAGGTCGACTCCCAGGGCGACTCACCATCCCTCGCCCTCCCCGCCGCCTGCTGGAACCCCACACCGCCCCCACCACCACCCTCTCCATGGGAGCTCTCCGCCGGCCACCGGCTCGGGCGAAAAGCATAGTCTTTGTCGCGATACGAGGGCATCGGCACCTGACTGAGGGCCTGCAGGGTCCGCTCGTATGAGGAGATGCCGCCCGCGGATGCAGACGGCTGCCGGCCGTAGGATGGCGGCATGTTCGTGAATGGGGCGCCGGGGTATGAGGGGGGCTGGGAGAATGGTGTGTAGAAGGGCTGGAAGGGCGAGTGGGGCGGCCTGCCGACGGGGGGGTGGTGTGTGAATGGGCTATAGAAGGGCTGGTAGGGTGAGTAGGGGCTGGTGCCGAAAGGTCCGGGCTGCGAGTAGGCCGCCGCCACGGGGGGAGGCGTAACTGAACAAGGCAAACAACGCACACAGAAAGCCAGACAGACAGACAGACAGACAGACAGATGGATGGATGGAAGGGGCATTGCACTGCAGGCATGCACACCCGCAACACACATACATGCAGACCCTCCCGTCCGTCCACTCCACTCACCACTGAAGCGATCACCGACGAGGTCATACAGCTCTCCAGGCCGGACAGTGATGGGCTCACGCGCAGCCATGCCCGCCTGACTGGCATACGCCGGCTGTGCGGCGGCTGCAGCTGTCTCACGCTGCTTCACCGCCTCACTCTCGGCCGCAGCCCGGTCCTCCCGCCATCTGGACAGAAACTGCCCCGCGGACACCAGGAGGGTGAAGACCACCACACCGCCGAGGGGGACTGACCACCCGGCATGGTAGAGAAAGGCTATGATCAGCCGAATGCAGGCCAGGAGCAGCTGAATGCTCCACTTGGCGAGTGTCGCATTGCCGGCGAGGAGCAGGACGACAGCAGCGATAAAGGTGAGAAGGTTGGGGATAGATGGCAGCAGCCGCTTGACGGATGCGCGCTCCTCGGTCTTCCTCTGCTGCCGTGCTTGAGCCTCTTGGGAAGTGAAGATGCGGAGGGGCGATGGCGGCTTGGTCTGTGCCGAGAAAGACGGCGTCACGTAAGGGCTACAGTATAATGCGCGAGGAGGCGGAGTAGTGCTCATGTCGTCTGAGCTCCACAACCACGACTTGCGTTCAAGCTCGCAGTGATCGCCGAACCATATCGCGAAAAATCGTGCATTCGCTGCGGAGAGTGTGTTTAAGATGGCGGCCACGTCGCTGAGTTCGGTTGTCCCGTATGCGCTTCCATACGTCGACGGACGCGACCTCTTCATCCTCGATACAGGTGAACAGAACAGAAACGCAGCACAGGACAGCACACCACACAGGAGGGAGAGGGAGGCTGTATGATGGAGAGAAGCCGCACACCACGCCGCAGATATTCCATGAATTGATCTGCCGCTCTTGTGGATGGTTTGTGTGTGTGCCAGTGTGTAAGGACTTGAAGGCCCTGGTGGATCCCGATCCCTCGTCGGCCATCTGGCGGCTGCAGGTAGGCACACACGGACACGCCATTACAGCTGCGCCCACCGATCCCAATGTGTTGCAGTATCATCGCTCGTTCGGCAAGAGGGGCAAGGGCAACGTTCGCCTCATCAGCAGTTCCGCCCACTTCCCCCGTGAGTCGGTCCGCAACCCCTCCGCGTACGTGCCTCTGCCCGAGGGGGACTACCGCAGGGCCTATCGCCGCAGCAGAGTCGTCGAGGACTTCGGTGCCAACGCCGAGGTGAGTCAGCTGCGGTGGGGCCAGGCCAAGTGCGTGAAGCCAAGGAACTCGATGAAGCGTAGCCGCTCGAGCATCTTCATTGCTGGCCCTAGTTTGTATGTGTTCGGTAAGTGAGGACAGTGAGAGAAGGAGGAAGCCCGAGTCAGGCACCTGATTGATGCCCCTGTGTCGGTGTGCAGGTGGGGTGGTCGGCGGCAAACGCGAGAAACCCAGCTTCAAGACCGACCTCTGGCGGTAGCTGAAAACCACATACACTTATAGATCCCGAGCGCTTGCTCTTTGCCTCCCTCCCTCAGTGTGTCGTTGGCCTCCCTCGTGCCGGGCGGCAAGTACGAGTGGCAGAGGTGTCACGTCGATGGCGTCGCTCCCCGCCCATCAGATGCCCTCATCCTCATCCCCGTCAACATCGCCCCTCCTCCCCTCAACGCACCCCCCACCCAACCCGAGTGGCCGAAGCGCTACTTTGTGGCTGGTGGGCGGAGCGGCAGCGACACCGACAGCCTCTGGGGAGTGCTGGAGATCAATCGCGAGGAGGGTGTCGATAGTGCAAAGTATCGACACCAGTGGCTGAGCAAGAGCGAGCTGAGAGGCGCGGAGAAGAAGAGCACACCGCCACTCAATCGGTAAGCCAAGTGAGAGAGAGAGAGAGACAGAGAGATAGCCCATGCTGCATATCTGCCGACTCACTCCTTCCTGTGTCTGTGGTTGGCTGCAGTCGCTACTTCACGTGTACGTTTGTGCCCATTCGGTCGTCGGCTCACCCCAAGGGCTACATCTTCATCTTCGGCGGCATGGACAGCACAACCGGGTAGGGCACTTGGGGCCTGACAGCACCCACACGACCCCTTCAGTGTTTTCTGGTTCGGTCAGCGAAGCGTTGAATTCCTCGATCATCGTCGACGTGGCGACCTGATCATTCAACGACAAGTGAGAGACCCCCAACCCCATTCGCCGCCACGACCGCTCTCATCTTGTATGTCTGCCTGTCTGCCTGTGTGTCCGTGTCAGCGATGGCAATGTGGGCGGCCTTCGCCCGACAGCCCGTCTGAACCACACGGCCACTCTCGTCAAGGACCGCTATGTCTTCATTATCGGCGGAGAGGGTAAGGCAGGCAGGACAAAATGTCGATCACACTGGCCATGCTGGCGTCGTGTGTGTGATTGCGTGCCTGCAGAGTGGGACCATGAGATTGACTCTGACTTTGACGAGAGCGATGACGAGTTTGACAGCGGGTACGGACCTTCACAGCACTTCGACCCGGTGGGCTTCGTGTCGCCACCGCGGCTGAGCATCTTTGACGGAGAAAGCAAGACGTGAGTGATCCGTCTGATGCATCGCGTGTCCGCCGTGACGTGCAGGGGAATGCCTGTACGTATTTTCCTGTCCTGCAGGTGGATCGAATTAAGCCGTCTGCCGTGGGTCGCAATGGGCACTTTCCCGCTGGTTGACGGTCAGTCAGTCAGCACAGACAGCCATCCGTGTGTTGGCCATCGTAGCGCAGGTTGTCGTGTTGTGTTGTCGTCAGATGCACTTCGCTCATACTTGGCGTCGGTGGAGGGCCACCGGTGCGACTTTGCTCGCCACACAGCTGTGCTGGCAGGTCAGTGGCAGGCAGGCAGTCCGGCGGAGTAAGAGAGGCTGGCACTTTTGTGTGTGTGGGCCTCTGTGTTTGCATGCAGGTGACAAGATCGTCATCATGGTGCCCTACGCCAACTACGGGGGGGTCGGTCGCTACGGAGGCATGAAGACCCTCACCTTCGACATCACCACGGGCCGATTCAGCAAGCCGGCATTCGCCACACGGCCTCAGAAGATGTCCACCGCACCCCCACCCCCCGGGATGACCCCGCATCCTACGCCAAGCCGCTCCTACAAGCCCTACGAGCCGCCGCCAGCAGCGTGTGCAGCTGCCGTGTGGACGGGCAGGTGAGTACACATTCACGACCACGTACACTCAGCGCAGGCAACGATGAATGGCTTCGGTTGTGTGTTCAGTGAGTTGATTCTGTACGGCGGCGCGAGTCTGCTGGACGAGGAGTGGGACGAAGGTGACCCCGAGACCCACTACGATGAGGACGATTACCGCCACGACCAGACCAAGCACTCCGAGATCAGCGTGCTGGGGGTCATGGATCGCGCGACGAACGACCAGACCGTACCCGTAGACCGACACCAACAGGTGGGTACACCAACACGGAAGGCCATCTCCGTCCCCTCGATCGGCTCCATTGATGCCGTGGCTGTGCAGGTGATGCCGTTTAGCCGTCGCTATGTGTGGAACCGGCAGCTGTGGCAGATGGACGTCATCCCGCCCTCCAGATGGGACGACCATGACCTGATCGAGAAGCGGTGGTATGAGGGGCGGCAGCGGGCCAGGGGCGCCAGGGCCGCGGAGAGAGAGCAACTGAGGCAGAGGGGCGTCGAGATCGAGTGTGACGGTGATGAGTATGACGGCATGGAGGGCTACACGGAGAAAGAGATCGACGATCATTTGGCCGGCAAGCCGCTGCCGTGCAACAAGGTGTTCGGCAAGCCCATCACACCCACTCGCCACCAGGCCCTCTCCAAATTCTTTCCTGTGACCGGGTACGCCACTGTCTAGCCATCTGACATGCCCGCTCTGTCTGTCTGTCTGTGTATCTGTCGTGCAGTATCCTTCACAGCGATCCAGTGCATTGGTACGTAAGACCAACGAGGCGCAGACGAAGGGTCCAGACCGATTCACTGCTCGTCTCTGCAGGACGCTGCCGACGGGCAACTCGAGAGCTGTGACCACTCCCAAGATCACCAAATACTTCAAGCGCGTGTGAGCGACACTCAAAGCGTCGCACACGGCACCAACACCGGGACACTCTCACCGGTTGGTTGTGTCTGTGTCTGTGTGTCAGTCGTGGCCCCAAGCCGCCTCTGGTGCAGTCGTCTCTGACCGACTTCTTCCCCTTCAGAACGGCATGCCGACAGACCATCAACCACGGATACAGGAGCTAGTTCAGACGGCGGTGTTACGAAGGCCATTGATTGTGGGTGGACGTGATAGATGCGTGGACTTTGACAGCGATGGCTGCTGTCTGCTCAACGGTTATCTATCGCAAACCACACACCACAGACCAGCAGTCAGCCAGCCACAGATGCATCACCCTATGTATGCAACCAGAAGGGAAATGACAAGCACAGACACGCACACAGCATGCACACACGACACGCGAATCAAAACCGCCCCATCGGAACACAACAGAGACGCGCCAAAGCCATCACGGCTCTCCCCCAGCAATGCCATCTCTCTCTCTGCTGGCCGCCCAGGCGTTGAAGCACATCCTCACTCTCCGTGAGCTCATCTTGCCAAGGTTGGCCTTGACCAGCCGCTCCCTCATCTCGTTCTTGACTCGCCGCCTTCTGGCATACACATAGAGAGCCTTGAAGGGCAGCGACCGGAGGCTGTACGAGTAGTTAAGCCACTTCTCCAAAGACAGCTGCACCAGCAGGAACTCACGGTGGGCCACCTGCGATGGCGGACCGACATGGCAGGCAGAACAACACAACATCGATCACTTGACACACGAATGCACCCGGCCATTGACCCATCGATGTCTCTCTCTCTCCTGTGTGTGGTAGCCAGCTACCGCTTTGAGTTGTGGGAAGAGGCGCCTCAGCATCTGGCTGTCCCACTTGCGCCTGAACTGTCGCGCGTTTTGCCTCTGCTTGATGAACAGCGACCAGCAGAGGAATGCCTTCTCTTTCAGCTCGCGGGAGTCGGGCGTCTCGCGCAGGAGGACCCTGCTGGAGTGGAGGCGGTGCCAGGCAGTGAAGTGATACTTGAGACGCATCAGGCGGTTCTTGGCGCTGAAAACAAACAGACAGACAGACAGGCAGGCAGAGAGACACGAGCTGATGAAGGTGAGACACGGCCGCGGTGGGTGCCACTGGGTGGATCATGTGTGTGTGACCCACCTGACTAGGTGTGCGCTCATCCTGATCAGCTTGTGACGGGCACTCATCTGCGAAACAAGCGAAAGGAACGAGACTGATGAACTGATGCATCACTCTCGTGTCTCTGTGGTGGTGGATGTGTGTGCAGGTGGGACATGAGTAGGTACCGGTTTGAAGAGCTGAATGGATGGGTTTGCATAGTTGGCAAGTTTGTCGATGGGCGTGATGATGCCCTTCCGGCCCTTGAACTCCGTCACACGAGTCCGGAGGCCCAAACCTGCCGCATACCAGCACACCCACAGCAGCAGATCCACCAGGTGACTGAATGGATGGACACCTACCTTGTCGATTGGTTCTTACGTACTTTTGCTGTATATCTTGAGCGTGGTGAAGACCCGCCGTCTGACGGCGTTCTCCCTCCTCTCGACGAACTTTGCGTACGCCACATACACACGGGGGTCGCGGAAAGAAGACATGCACTCCTCCTTCCACGCCTGCACACATACTCATGTCAGTCAACATGGGTCCATCCACCCACTCACAGCTGGCTGACCTTGAAGCACTTCTGCAGCGCCCTGTTGCAGCATATTTGGTGCCACCTCCGGATGGCCTCGTCCTGCTCGTTACGGCACCGCAGCCATTCCATCACACAGTGACCGAAAGACACCAGGTGCCGCCGCCGATACCTGGCCAGCGCCTCCTTCATCCGGCGGTACTTCCGCTGAGCCACACGCGCCCGGAGGGTGGCGACGACCTTGAGTGCGGCGAAGACACGTCTCCGGTACTCAGAAGAGCCGTCGTCGAAGTCCATGGAAAAGACGCGCTGAAGGCGGTTGACCACTCTATCCATCCGCTGCACGCTCAGCTGCATGCATCATTGAAGCACAGAGAGGGGAAAGACAACGAGGGGTCGGTCGGTCGGCCATTCTGCAGTCGTGTGTGATTGATTAGTCGCCCTGGCTCGCCCACCTGTGCAAGTTTGGATCTGGGTGTCATTCCTCCGCCCTCACCAGACGAGAGGTTCTGGACCGACCCCTCCAGCTGCTGCAGACGCGTCAGAATCCCTTCCATCTCCCTTGACATCGTCGCGAGGGCCTCTGGATCGTTGCCTGTGTAGGTGACGAAGGGCGCGAACGACACCTTGGCCGGCTGTGGTGGTGCCTTGTCAGCGGTGTCAGTGCGCATTGCGCCATCGAGTGGGACGGGTCTGAGCAGGGCGCCGCGGGAGCGTGTGTGGGATGACTTAGGGGTGAGGCGGGGGAGGGAGGGGAAGGACGAGTGATGGTGCCCACCGCGGTAGCGGGCAACACTGCACACATCCATAGGAAGACAAGAACACCAAGGCGGGGCAGATGGCAGGCAGAGGGGACTCGGTGTCGTCTCTCTCTCTCACCTGGCCGTGGGAGAAGACGTTTGCATGGCAGCCCTGGATCTCCGAACGGCCACCATTCTGTCCCCCTCCCCCTCATTCTCCTCCTCAATGGCCGTCAGAAAGGTGTGCTGCGACAGCTCTGTAGACCGACCGCCATCCAGCGACATCTCCAGGGGCGTGGTCCTCGAAGCCGCCGAAGCCGCAGACTCCATCAGTGACGTCCTGGACCGCCACACACTGTGCGTGACGCCATGCAAGGTCGGAACTGACGATGACCGCTGGGCGTCGCCAAGAGAAAGGCTCTGCGATTCGTGTGAAGTGGGGGACTGGGGCTTTGAGGATGAGAGCATCATGGGGCCGGGCGACTGGAGTCTCTCGATGCCTCGTTCGACGATGGTGGCCTCGACGGACGGCCGCCTATGGCGAATGTCGTCCTTGAGCCGTTGTCCGCCGCTGGAAGTGTGGAGGGAGGGGAGGGAGAGGTGTTTGTCGTCCAGGCCCAGGCCGGCCCGCAGATGCTGCCGCTGCTTCAGCATTGCAGCCATGACCGAAATCGATGGAAATCGATGGATTTTTCTGAGACTTTCTCTGTGGCTAAGCTAGCAGGCGATCGTCTCGAGTCCCGTCATACTGTCAGCACCGCAATGCTCCACGAGCACGAAGTCCAGCCGCAGGGTGCACAGAATGATCAATCACAGGACAGTCTATACGTGGAGTGTGTGTCCAGCAAAAGGCCAATCCAGATCTGTACAACGATACAATACCGGCCATCTAAAGGACCGACGCGCATTGGTCTCCCTATCTCTGTCTGGCTATCGCCAGGCCGCCCTCTTCCCTCTCCAGCTGCACACCGAACACCTCAGCAAAGCTGTCCATCAGCAGTCCAGCCACCCGCTCAGTCGTCACCCCGTCCCTCACGCACTCCCGCACGGACCCCACCGGCCGGTCGCTGATGCCGCACGGCACAATGCGTTCAAAGTGGGCCATGTTGGGGTCCACGTTGAGCGCCACACCGTGCATCGTCACCCACTTGCGCACCCTCACACCGATGGCAGCCACCTTGCGGCCCTCCACCCACACGCCCGTCAGCCCCTCGATTCGCTCGCCTTCGACGCCCAGCCGCTCAAGGGTGCGGATGATGACCTCCTCGAGAGACCGCAGGTACCAGTGGAGGTCCTGCTTGTGGTGCCGGAGGTCCACAATGGGGTAGAGCACCAGCTGTCCAGGGCCGTGGTAGGTCACCTCACCGCCACGCTCAGTGCGGAAGACAGGGATTGGGTCGTCGTCTGTGTCGTTGCCTGCACAGCACAGCCACCAACAATGACTGACATGAAAGGCCTCCTGCCGCCCATATCCTACCCTGTGCACTCTGAGTGACTCACTCACCTGTAGCGAGTATGTTGTGTTCGGTGCTGGCAGTGCCCAGCGTGAAGACAGGGGGGTGCTGCAGCAAGATGGCCATGTCACGCCGAGTGCAGCCATCGGCCGCCAGCTCATCCACCATTGCGTCCATCAGCCGGTGTTGCAGGTCCCAGCTCGCCTCGTACGGCACCGTCTCGTTCCACATGTCGTAAAAGGCACAGTGGCGGACCTCTGTGAGGCCACCATGCAGAGCAGCAGGCGCCTCCCTGACCGACGAAGCTGCTGCCGCAACAGCCGGATTCATCCGCAATGGGTTCCGTCGCATGCGGCGAAAGGCATGGCTGTCGATACGAGAGGACGGCGATGGCTCGTTGAGCAGCGAAGGTGGGATGCATCTCTCGCGGCAGAGGCCAAGGATGAAGGCGGTGGCGTAACGAGGCACTATCAGGAAGCAGAGAAGAGCGGCGAGGGGGGCAAATGGAAGCCTGGTACCTCCGCATGTTCTCGAGGCGCTCTCGTTGGTGGCCCGATGAGTCATTGCGCCAGGAGAGGTGACTTCATCTCGTCAAACAAGACCGAAAGATCCATGTGAGAGCCAGTCTTCAGTGCCTCAGAATGCCATCTGCCAGGCATCACTTGACACTCGGAAAGGAGGAACGTTCGCTTCGTGGCTGGCCTCTTCGAGCTCGCATAGCTCGCGTGGGGTTTCGGCGCTTTCTCTTTCCGCGGAGCTTCTAAGCGTACCCGCCCGGGCCCAAGTACCTCACCTGAGTCGCTTCGACACCCACTCGGGCAAAAAGCCAGCTCCAGCAACAAGTAAGTCAAGGCAGGCGCACCGACACAGAGCAGCGTGCATGCGAAGGGAAGAGGGAGGAGCAGCCGCATGGCAGAACAGCTGCCCTTCGTGGCGGTGCATTCTCGCACTCCTCCCTCCTTTTCTCGTCCCGTGATGCGATGCGTTGGGCTGCAGGATGTTGGCTCTCATCGACAATCTCCAGTATGGAGCCTTCCGTGTTGGGACGCTGATGGTGGCGCTGACCACGGTGGCGTTCTACGGCATGTACTGGGGCATTAGCCCCAGCGGCGAGCTCTACAGCGTCTTCAAGACACCTCTCGAGGAGGGGGCTCTCGACACGGCCGACGAGCGGGACAAGTACGACGCACTCAGCAACAAAGCCGTCGAGGCCTTCGACATGGTCAGCCAGATAGGGGCGAGAGACATGACACATACTCCTCTGGCCCACGGATGCATCTGTGTGTGTGCTGGTGCGCTATGTGCTGGTGTGATGTGATGTGATGTGATGTGTGTGCATTAGGGTGTGATTGGGTTCCCCATCATCCTGTCGCTGTGTCTCATCGGCAACTTCTTCATGCTCGGCTTCCCAGTAAGGAGCATCACTCACACCGCTGCGCACACGCACGCAAGCTGCTGACACACTCGTACGTATTTGTATGTTTGTGTGTGTGTGCGTTAGATCAAGCTCCGTTCGGACGGCCTGTTCCAGATCCAGTGGCGCCTGTTCCGCTTCGGCGTCATCATGCTCCAGTTCGCCACCACATTCCACCTCGTCTCCACTGCCGTCCTGGTAACCACAGTCTCACACACACAACACAACCCCCTCATAGACACAGACACACACGCATACACGCCCACATGTGCACGTGTGTGGTCTGTCCGTCCGTCCGTCGACCAGCTGAGCGCCTGGATCGCTGGTTCGTTCTACGCGAACGGCCCCGAGGCGACCCGCCTGGCGTTTCTGCAGAGCGGCGTGCTGACGATGATGGAGACCATCGGTGCGCAGCTGACGATCGTGTACGCCTTCCTCTACGGCCCGGCCTACCTGCTGCTCGAGTACTACCACAGGGAGGAGTGCAGCGGCGGATACTGCGTCTCCTGGACTCTCGGCGTCACCTGGCCTCTCGTAGGCCTCTTCGGTGAGGGGGCGGGGGTGGGGGTGGGGGTGTGTGTGTGGATGGGGGGGGATGGTGTTGTGTGTGACATGTGTGTGACGTGTGTGTGTATGTGATGTGTGTGTGGTACAGGTCTGATCATCAACTTCCTGCACAGCGTGCTCAACAACGATGTGGCGCTGATTGTGACCGGTTCCCTCTACACGGTCCTCTACCTCACCGCCATCATCTGCCAGACCATCTTCGCCTTCAACTACGGTATGCTATGCACACCTCCATTGCACGCTTGTGGGCAGGGTGGGGTATTCACACACACATACGCCACGCCCATCCCTCTCTGTCTGTCTGTCTGGGTGTGTGCAGAGGTTCCAGCCAACTACTACATGTCCAAGGATTCCCCGGAGGAGCAGCTCGAGGTGACCAACCTGACTGAATGCCCTCGTCCTTACCCACATCCATCCATCCATCCATCCACCATGGCTCCTCTCATTGTGCTGGTGTGTTGGTGTGGTCGTGTGTGGTGTGCAGGCTGCTGGTGCTGCCGACGCCGCTAAGCGCGGTTTCGGTGCCAAGTTGCTGGCTGGCCAAGGTGGCGCGCAGGTGTCGACCAGCCCCTTCTACGCCACCTACCCCTACCCTGCGGGCGCCGGCACCGCCGGATACTCCTACGAAATGTACGCTGCCTGCCACAGACACACACAACACATGCACACCACAGCATCACATCACACCACTTGTGAGTTGAGTTGTTTTCCTCTCTCTCTGTGTGTGTGCAGGGTGGCCCAGCAGCCCCCCGCTGCGCGCTCCGTGCCGACTCAGGCGCAGGGCGGCACGACCACGGCTGCTGCCGTCTAGATCAACACACCACACCACACACCACACCACACACCACACACCACACACCACACACACAGACAGACTGCATACGTACCGTACACCCCAGGGTATGTAATCATGTGTGTACAGGGAGGGAGAGAGAAGCGCGTGTGCGTGCGTGTGCGCGGTTTAGTGCCAGTGGTCTGGATGGATGGATGCCTCCTGTCTGGATGCCAATCTGTCTGCCTGTCTGTCTGCCTGCCTGCCTGGATGGCTGGATGGATGGATGGATGTGCTGCTGTGGTTTGTCCTTGTGTCGTGGGTTGGTTCGTATGTGCATAGCGAGTGGGTGGGTGTGGAGGGTCTAATGGCATCGTCTGATATGCCGTGATCGATGGATGGATGGATGGCCAGGCAGGCAGGCACTTTCCGATAGCCGCTCTCGAGATATCGGTGCACCAACACACAACACAACAGTTGAGAGCAGACAGACATAGCGCCCGGTTTTCCAGTGCTCGGGCGATGCGCAGGCAGGCAGGCAACACTCCCTCTCTCTCTCACCCCCTCTCTCCCCCTGAGCCTTGTGGATACTCCCAACTAATCGAGCCTGCGGATGCTAGCAAACCAGATAGCAAATGAAATGCGTAGATGGCTGGCTGAGTGTGCGACGGTCACGTGCTGCGTGTACAGAGGGATGGATGGATGGGTGGATGAACAAGCAAGGCAAGTGACTGGCTGGCCGGTTTTCGTTCCGTTCCGTCGGGCGGTGTGTGTTGTGTTGCGACGTTCCTTTTATCTACACGGCTTTTCTTTTCGTGTGCTGTGATGGTCTGTGTGTCGTGACTGGAGGGAGCACTGCAGCTGCGTTGCCAGGCGCTTCGTGATCCTTCTGTGGCATTGCACTCCAATGCCACAGAAGGCTCGCAGCGCGTCAGGTAATGCCGCTGCGGTGCCTACACACACGACGCGGCAAACAAATGTGATAATGCATGGCATGGATGGGCACGCACACCCACCGCTCCCCCATCCCCTCCCCCTCTGTATACACACCGATGGTTGGATGGATGTGTGGACGTCCGGGTGTCCGCGGCTGGATGTGATGTGTGGGAAGGAGACTCACGCGGGGCGGGACAGAGACATTCGAATGAAAAGGAATCGGATCGAATCCTCAGTATGGAAGATCATTGATTTGTCTGTCGATCGATGAACACACTCATTCATAGCAGTCAGTCCACACAACAATCCCTCCCCTCATCCACCCCTCCCTCCCCCCCCGCCAGGCCATCCATTCCATCAGTTCATTCCGCCTTGAGCCCATCGAACATCATAATCTCCCTCCTCACGGGCAGATCAGGATGCTCCAGCCGCAGGTGGCCCTTCGGCTCCCCGCTGTCTCCCACAAGAGCCGTCTTGGCCCGCATGTCCCGTGTCCCGTGGCCGAAGGAGAAGGTGGGGTTGGTGCGGTTCTTCGACTTGACCTGCCGCCCAAGACACGACCGGGGGTCGCCCGTGTCCAGGAAAGTGTCGTTCTGCGGCGCCCTCTCGCCGAAGCGGTTGTCCTTTGGGAAGGAGTGAATCGGCAAGGTCTGCCTGCCGGACTCTGCCTGGTGGCCGACGGACGAGACGAGGGGGTAGCTGCCGGGGCCCACTGCTGACGGCGTCTGGACTATCGCCCCCAACACTGGCGTCTTGAGGCCGAATGACGAGGCGCGGATAGAGCGGCGAATCTTCAGGATGTCCGGATGATACCCGGCAGGGCCTGCGGGAAAGAAGAGACAGACGGCGTGGTTCCGTTGTGGATGATTTGGTGTGTGTGAGCTGACAGACCGGGTGAAGTCTGTCCATAGAGTGCGGCCGGGTGTGACTTGACGATGGTCGCATCACGGTTGTTGAATCGGGTGCCGGTTCCGAAGGGCGGCGGGTGCACGCCCTTGAACTTGAAGCTCTGGCTGTCTGGCACGATGCCCATCAGGTCGGTGGTCGATATCGGCACCTCCGACCGGTAGTCGGGGCGCTGCTTGGCGTCGCCGAACGAGAACACGTGCATGTTGGCCTTGCCCTCATCGCCACGAGGACTGCACACAGACAGACACCAAGACACACACACACAGAGACAGGCAGACGGCCTGCATGCGACAGTCACCATGAGTGTGTGTGCGCGTGTGTATGTACTCGTATATGGGTCCAGGGCTGTGTTTGAGGCCCGTCTTGAACTGTGCATCGCGGCCAGACGTGCCAAACGAATACTCGGGGGCGCTCTGCCTCAACCCCTGCATGTCGTCAACCATCGACCGACATCACAGAAACAATCACGAGAGGGAAGAGGAAACAGAGGGAAGGCCGTTGCTCCCGCCGTCCTCACCTCAATCTGTCTGCCAACAGCAGGTACGTTCGGGTTGTCCAGCAGCAGATTCGCCATCACGCCTCAGACCTCTTCAACTCCGAGTCGTCGTCTTGGGGGACGGTGGGGGCCTGCTTCTCGCCACTTTCAAGCTTTACCACAGCCTGGCTCGGCTCAAATCAGCCTCGCTGAAGCGGTCTCGAGGCAGCAAATGCTCAAAATCTCTCCGGCGATCCGTCACGCTGAGCTCGCAGGTTTGCGCCGAGTGCTGAATGCTCTCGATCTGTTACACCAGGTATGCATATGCGAGTCGTATAGGGACGGCGCGATGCTTTTTCGTCACGGTGCGGCCCTGAGCGATGGCTGCACAGCCATTGGCTTCGTCAGATCTGCTCCTCCTTTCATCCCATTTCAGCCCTCCCGCCGGCGCATCGTGCGGCTCAGCTCTCGGCGCAGCTCGAATGCCCTGCCAGTGGTGGATGGATCGCACCAGGAGGAAACCGCAGAGGCGCTCATGGAACGCGCCAGACGGCTGCGGTCTGAGGCTTCGGTCATGGAGGATGAGATGCTGCGGCTGCTGACGGACGACAAGGAGGAAGTGGCCGATGAAGCTGCGGAAGAGCAGAGATCTGCTGTGGCTGTGGCGGTGGCAGCTGAGCCTGGGGAGCTTGCAAAGGAAAGAGTGAGGGAACAGAAGAGCGCAAGGCGTCTGCGGGCACTTCTCATGCACTGTGTTGGTTGGTTGCCCCTGCCCCTGTCTGTGTGTCGTGTGTGTCAGGGTGAGATCTGGGAGGCCCTTACTGAAGCGCTCGCTGAGGAGAGGACCAAAGGCGAGAAGGTCGCCAAGCTGCTAGAGGCGCTGAAGCTCCGCGATGGGGTCAGCCTGTGGGACGCAGAGTCGGTGCTGTACCGTCCCACGCCGCTGGAGCAACTCAAGATATATCTCAAAATGAGAGGTGAGGTGAGGAAAACACACATGGCTGACACGACGTCCTGCACTCACACGCAGGGATTGTTCGTCTGTGTGTCAGATGTGTCGAATCCGGCAAGGGTGCTGGACATTGATGGCGGCAGCGCCGTGGACAAGATCGCTCTCGGGCTGGGAGTGCTCTGCCTCGTCGCCACCGGAGCTGTGTTTCTGGGGGCCCTCAATGTAGGAAGTGACGTGCACTTCAGATGACCAAAAGGAGATGACTGGTCTGTCTGGGTGTGTGTGTGTCCGTGGCGTGGTGTGTGTCAGTGGATTCCCAATGACTTTGTGCGATACTGTGTGAGTCTGGCGCTCATCTCCCTGCCATTCACCTACATGGCGGTGGGCATCGCGAGACCCAACGACCTGTTCTTCTTTATCGCTGAGGTAGGTGACTGGCGAGCAACCAAAACCGATGGAAAGATAAAGTTGCACGTTCCTCTCTCTCTCTGTGTCTGTGTCTGTGTCTTGTCAGGTTTGGCGGGCGCTGAGCCCAAAGACAGCCGAGAGGCTCTACTATCATGAAGCAGTGAGCACACACAGCATTACGCACCCACACCATAAGCACGACGCTCCCTGCGTCCATCCCTCCCTCCCCCATGCCCTCCCCCATGCCCTCCCTCCCTCCGACATGTAGGCGCACTTTCTCGTCGGCTATCTGCTGGGTCTGCCAATCAAGAGCTACTCGGCCAACAGCTTCCTCAACCGCGTTGAGTTCTACGACGACATGGACATCCTCACCGCCGCAGACCGGCCACCAGAGTCGCTGCGGGACCGCATACAGGCCGGCTTCGAGGTGCCCGAGGGGGACAGGCCGCGGGAGGCTGACGACGACGACGAGGTCACACTGAGGCGTGAGTTGAGGAGCGGTGAGAGGAGGCCTCGACCTGGAACGGTCGTCAACTTAGAGCGGGCCAAGCGGGCGATTGTCGTGGCCTCCGCTGGCGTTGCGGGTCGGTGGGCTGGGAACAAACGAGCTGTCTCTTTCTTGGCAAGTTGTGATTCATTGGTCGGTGGCCTGCCTCGGTGTGTGGTGTGTGTGAGTTCAGGTGAGTATTTGTACTGTGAGAGTGCCGAGGGGGGCAGCGCCGACATCAAGTGGATCGACGCCGTCCTCAGGAGGTAGTACTGTACACCAACACCTGTCAATGAGCCTGAGCCTCTGTCTCTATGTGTCTGTTGTTCTTGCGTGGACGACAGGACGGATCCCCCGTTGAAGCGTGACGAGCGTCAGGACTATATGAGGTGGGGCGTGGTGGAGGCCTACCTCCTACTCGACAAGTACAAAACCACACTGGACGCCCTTGTGGACAGCTTCAGGTACACACACACACACACACACAGAGGCGCATGGCAGTGATTTCTGTCTGTGTCTTTCTTTGACCAGGGCTGGCCGGTCCATTGTCGAGTGCGTGAAGGCGATCGAGGACAGTGCGTAGTGCCGGTCCATTGTCGAGTGCGTGAAGGCGATCGAGGACAGTGCGTAGTGCCAGATGAGATGAGAGGAGATGAAGGCGTTAGGTTGCGTCGGTTCCTGTGCTAAGATCTGTGTGTTGATTGACTGATCGTGTCGTATGTGTGCGTCGTATTGTTGACGTGTAAGGGTGGCGAACACTTGCGATTGCAGCACGTTAATCAATCGGGGCTGTACAGACGTTCACAGCTTGTTGTCCTGCCCACTCCCTTTGTGCGCTGGTTTTCGGCTTTGTGAAGCCGTCCGCCAGCACCGAAGGAACACGCCAGTCATGGGTGTCCCTCCAGTGCTCGGAGACTTCTTCGACAGACGACGACCAGCACACTGGCGCAGCACGCACTCATGCACCAGACAATGTATCAGCCATCAAAGCTCCTGTCCCCGTCCGCCTCACCTCCGCCAAAAAGTGACGTTGTCCAGTCACATGTACGTATCGCATCCATCCGTCAAACACCGTTCGCAGTCGGTGTGCCGGCCTTCTCGTTCGCCATGCCATAGGCCACCCAGGAAGGAACACACATGTGATGAGCGTTCCGCCCCAGGTGACCACCAGCACACCCAACGCGAAGACCCAGCACAGGGGTAAGCAACACATTAGATGGGCATTGCTTGCGACGGAACACCAGAACCCTCTTCCAAGTCAGACAGCCCGTCTGTCTGTGTGCCTTCAGCAACAACGCATCCAGACTAAGAGCCAAAACGAGCTTGTGGCATTGTCGTCGTGGCTATCAGTCAGGGCGCATCGCCGCATCAGGCACACCAGACAGATAGACAGACAGACAGACAGAGAGCAACGCTTTGCTGGCTGCCACAACACAGACCACCACCATTCTGAACCCATCTCGCTGCTCACAGCCGCACCACCGCAACCAAAAAGCCCCTTGACAAAGAAAGCAGCACACACCACACCCACGCACACGAAGCCCTCCCTCACTTTCTCTTGTCGTCCTCATAGACCGCATCCCCCTCGCCACCCCCACCACCCCTCCTGGCCACCGCACGGGGCCGCCCGCCTCTCTTGTCGTTTGTGTGGAGGGGCAGGCGTGTGTTGCGGGGCATCAGCAGCCGCATGCTGTATCCGTGGGGCCAGGCGGGCTTGAGTGACAGGCAGCATGACAGAAGGAAGGGGAACAGGAGACCCCCAGCCACAAGGATGGACAGAGTGAGCGCCGCCGCGTAGAGGACCTGATGAGACACACACATGCACAAACACACCCCAGCCTCCTGCAGAAACTGTGTGTGTGTCTATCTGGCTGTCAGCTTACGTGTGGCGTGGTCCACACAATGGGCTGTGGATCCGTCGCCATGAGCGCCTTGAGCACCCGCCCATGGCCGGCATAGCTCTCCTTGCCGCCGCCCGTGTCGGTCGTCATGAAGGCGACACAGACGAACACCGAGCCGAAGGTCGCCATGTGCCCCATGTTGAAACCAACACGATAGCCGCTCACCCCATCCGGCGCACTGGCCACCGCCATGGCGGGGGGGAGGGCGGCAGCGTATGAGGGGTGGACAGCTGGGGGAGTGTCGAGATCGAGGGAAGGAGGGGTCGCTGCTGCTGCTGCTGCTGCTGTTCTCATTGTGGCATTGGTGCTGTTGGGCTGCACGAGCGACTGGAGGAAGGACAGCTGCTGCTTGAGCAGCTGGTTCTCCGCGCGTAGAGAGGTCGCCTCGTGGCGAAGAGCTTCGACCTCCTGAGAAGAACGAGGCGCATGAAGGCACATCCATCCATCCATAGTGAGAAGGTGAGTGTGGTTTGCCCTGCTTGCTGTTGCCTCACGTACGTGTTCGAGTGACGTGTAGTACTCCTTCTTCTTCGCACGGGAGCGCACAGCCGACGCCCTGTTCTGATCTGCAGACACAACACAACAACAGTCAGACAGACCAAGAAGCCCTCCCTTCCGTTCCTCCGTCATGTCATTGTCACCTCGTTTCCTCTGTTTCTTGATCTCATCCACGTTCCTCCCTCCACCCGCAGCCCCTCTGGCGGTGCCCCTCTTGAGCACCACCGCCCTGTCGGCCCTGTCCGACGACTCCTCACTAACACTCACCGCCGGACGACCACCACCATAGCCATCGAACATCTGCAGAGCAGGGCTGTGCTGCCGGCTGCTCGCCGTCGCCGTGGGAGCATAGTGTGTGGTGTTGGTGTTGGCCGTCAGGCTCCGCCCCCCCTGGCTGTGCGGCGAGGGGTTCTCGGTGGTGTGCATCAGGCTGCTGGGTGGCGCGTTGGGCGCAAGCCCACCGCCTGACAGTGTGTGGGTGAGGTGGCTCATGACGTCGTCGTGTGGAAATGCCGATGCTGAGGGAGGGCGTGAGGGCAGGTTGAGGAAGGAGTCGGGGTCGATGAAGTCATTGGGGTCGTCGGACGGCAGGGCGGGAGGCAGCAGAGGGATATGGCTGCCTGTGAGATGGTGGTAGTGCATAGGGCTGTCATCTTCGTCCATCATGGCTTTCTAACACGATGACGTGTCGCTGACGTCATCCATCTTAGTTCCAGGGTTTAGGGTTTGGGCGAGCTCAACCCTAAACGAAGACTCCGGGCTCAAAAGTGGGACCTCATGTGCGCTCCACGTGTTGGCCCGACTCCTGGCGTGTTGGTCCGACTCCTGGACGTATTTTTCTTTGTGACTCTTTTGGCCGTCCTCATCGCCGTCACATACTTGTCCTGTACGCGAGATGCTGCTGCTGTACCCTCAGACCACCAACTGCTATTGAAGGCGGCAAGAGAATATCTCGAGAGTGTGGTGAAGTTGAGGGACGTGCTGAGGGACGTGGGCTCGGCAACCTACGCCGACGGGACGGATGCGATGCCTGCAGTGCAGAAGGTGTTGCTGGCTGCGGAGGATGCCATACCGCTTATACAGAACGCGACGTGGGTTATAGGGAACCACACTACGCGATGACTGACTCTCTCTCTCTGTGGGTAGATAGGTGCCTAGGTGGTGGGTGTGGCTTGGGGGGGTTGTATTCGGTGCAGCAGGGCAGGCACCTCAGACAGGTCACAAGTTTGAGAGGGGTGCTGCCTTCCCTTGCTCGTGTGTATGCATATGAACCATGTACTTACTTAGATCGGTGGCAGGCCTGCCGCAAGGGCGAAGGAATGGTGTGGTGTGCGTATTTGCGGCCATGTGATATATGCATCATATACGTGTGTGATGAGCGGAGCCGTATCTAGTCAAATTTTGTCATGGGGGGCGTGTCGTGTCGTGGTGTGGTGTGCTGCAATCCATGGCATCATTGTGCTGGGCAGTGTGCCGACTTGATGATACCTGTCTTACTTGTCAATCAATGTGTGACCGAATGAATGGTGAGAACCGACCGACGTTTGTGTTTACGTCACTCTTCTCTGTCATCCGGCCATGCACACAAACCATCCAGAGAGGCGGGCTATCCACCGATCGCAAGGCAATCTATCTAATCTTATCGTCCTGCCCCTCCTCTCTGCTCCCATCACCAATCGCAGCGGGGGTGCTGCGGGCGGCGGGGCACCCGCCGCGGGGCTGGGTGGTGAGAACCAGCCAGCGCAGGCAGCCTTGGGACCGATATATAGATAGATGGGACGGCGGAACCCCACCCACCCCACCATACCTGGATGGATCAATCACATCGGCACAGGAAGCAATGCACACACACATGACTTCTTACTTGGGCGCCCCGTTAGCAGCGGGCGGCAGCGGCCCGCTCGCGCCTCCACAGCCCCCTCGACCGCACAAACATCCGCAGAAGTGCGTGTGTCGGCCGGCGGGTCCCAGACACATCATAGGCACAGATCAAGGCCACCAATATCGAAGGCCGCTTGGGGGCGAAGCGATATGGGCCAGCGGGGCGAGGACGGGGATGATGTGACGAGCGATGAAAAGACTGGCTGGTGAGAGGGCAGTGGAACTCAATCCTGAGGCCGGCCCAGCAACACCAGGGTCTGTTCCTCTGTGAGCGGCTCACTCCCCGCGTCCCTTGTGTGTCCGAGAGCGGGGCGAGGCAGTGGTGTCGCCCGTGGACGGGCCGATGGAGATCGACGGCATGCAGCCGGCCGGTCAGCCATGCAACAAAACTACAACTGCAACCATTGACAAATACAAGGAAGGAAGGACACACAGATGTGCCATGCCAGCCAGTGAGTTTCTGTCCAGGGTAGATAAATAGATAGACTCCCATCTTGTCGTCATCCCTGCCGAACGATTAAATGATCCGGCTTATCTCTGCGTGGCCCTCGTAGTGCACCAGGATGTCTGTCGGTGCGGCAGCAGGAGGGCTCCGCGGGATGAGGCCCTTCCCAGGGGGCGGGCAGCGGTGGGCAATCGGCGACGTCGAACACGTCGCGCCAAAAAGAATGGGAGGTGGCATCCACATCACAGCTGTCAATCTTGCTCCACGCTGACATCTCGACGAGGACGGCAGATCAGCGAGCAGAACACCGGTGCTTTCTGTATGTCGCTCCGTTCTTGATGCTATGTACGTCGCTTCAGGCGCACCAAGGCCGCTTCCCTCCAGCCATCCATGCGAGCTCAAATATCTGCGAGCTAAGCCTGCGGACGTGCAGGATTTCCCTCGTCAGGGCGTTGCCTACGTGCCCTGCTGTTCCATTGAGCCGAGATCCGCTCCGATCCATCAGTATTTGATGAATGCCATGCTCGCAACGTGGTCCTGACGGCCATCCATCCGATAGATGCATCCCCTGGAGGCGACAAGCAGCCGTCTGCTGGGAGTGGTGTTTGTGGCCCAGCGGCCGTCTAGCGAGGCCGAGGTCATCTTCCAGTACCCACCGCCTTGCGAGGTGGTGGACAGACCCAGTGACCAGGCGTCAAGGAGCGAGAGCATCGAGGCCAGGCTGGCGTGGGACGTGTTTGGGATTGACTGTCGGTACTTTGCAAAGCTGATGCTGCCGCACCCGCAGCTGTGCAATCGGGGATTCGAGCTGGAGGTGGACGCAGGTACATGTGGTGTTGTGTGAGGCAGGGAGGCAGGGAGGGAGGGAGGGAGGGAGAGCATGGTATGGTGTGGATGATATCTGTGTCGCGTCGCGTGTGTGGTCATGTCATGTGTGTGTGCAGGTGACAAGATGTTGCCGATGTTTCACGTCGGTGGCGTCCACACGCACAACCACCTGAGAATCGTCAACTTCCCCTTCCTCCTCAACAGAGACCGAGAGCACCCCGACCACACACACCCACACCCACACCCATATGCCTCCCTCTCACGCCCCGTCCACCCGGCATCGTCACACCACAGCACACACCACCCCCACCAGCACCAGCACCACGACGAAGACTCCCTCCCGCCCCGCACACCGTCCGCACCGATCCACCCTGTCAGTGTCAGCCAGCAGCTGTCACAGCACGCCAACAACGCCCTGACGGTGCCTGTGAATGCGACTGAGGGTGTCGAAAGCTGTCCGCCCAGCCCCCTGCAGCCTCCAGCACCTGGGGCTGCTGGCTCTGATGCTGGAGGCGCTGGTTTTGCTGCTACTGGTGGTGGGGGTGTGGGCGTGGGTGGTCTTGGCGTGACGGGACATCTGGGGTCCGACAAGATACACAAGTGGGCGGATGGGGGGAGGGGAGGGAGGGGAGGGAGGGAGAGATGAGAAAGTCAGCAGCATATCCCTTATGTGTGTGTGTGTGTGAGTAGGTTTTCGGTGGTGTTGGTGTTCGATTCCCGTGAGACGACCGACGTGGAGACGTTCTTCCAGATCGAGCAGAACTTCTCCAAGGCGCTGCTGGTCGCGGAGGAACGATTCGAACACCTCAGCCAAGAGGTAGGTAGGTAGGTACGCCAGCCAGCAGCCTGGACCGCGTGCAGTATCCACACACACACACACACACGTGTGTGTGTGTATGTGTGTGTGTGTAGGTCGATAAGATAACGGGGCTGATCAACGACTTCACCAAGAAGTACTTCAAGCAGCACGAGGGGAGGCCCGACCGGTGGGATGAGATGAGATGAGATGAAGACCAACACACACATACACACACATACACACACATACACACACACATACACACACACACACACGCAAGCCACCTCTCATGGAAGTTAGTGTTCGTCTTTTCTTCCTTCCATCAGCGACCACACGGGCGACTCGCCACGCGCACACCGCACTTCGCCACAACCTCCACCAACAGCACCAGCAGCAGCAGATGTAATCAGACAAACACACAGAGAGAAAGAGATGCGCACACAGACACCCTGTATGGTTTGGTATGATTTGTTCAGTTGTCTGGTGATGGTGTGGAGGTAGGTGTGAGCGGTCTGGACGAGGAGGGGCGGCTGACGCTGAGGGGCCTCATGGACAGAATACTCGACAAATCATCACTTGCACAGGTAGGTACCTAGGTATGCGGGCGGCCACGTTGTGTTGGCACTGACTGACGGGACGGGATGCCTTACTTGTGTGTCTGTGTCCCTTGTGTGTGGTGCGTGTTGATCGATCCAAAAGAACCTGAAGAGTTTGTACGAGCAGCTGCAGACGAGCCGGTCGGCCCAGCTGCTCATCCACGGGTGCATCGCCTGCAGACTCTCTACCTACCCCATACAAGTAAGAACATCAACATACCTACACACCGTGCACCTTGTGTCTGTCATGTCTTGCTTGTTGGACATGTCATGTCATGTCAGCACATCCCCGCCCCTCCTCCCCACTGTGCCTTGGCCCTGCTGTGGCCCATCCACCAGCTGCAGAAGGATCTGCCCATCGACTCGGCCTCGTCTGTCAGACGACTGTGCGACGCCGCCAACCCACACAAGAGCCTCAAGGTCGGTCGCTGCGGGAAGGAAGGTTCTCTATGACCCGGCGGGCAGCTCATTCCAGCTCATTCATGTGTGTGTGTGTGTGTTGTGGTTTCGTTCAGGAGTTGGTAGTGGATCTGTGCATCCCGGTGCAGACGATCATCCGGATCGCTCAGCACCTCGTCTACTGGCGGGCGGCAAAGGTCGTCGACACACTGCAGGACGAACAGGTGCTTGCTGCACTGCACACACACAAAGAACTGACTGACGACGGCACGCAACGCATGGGCCCATGCCCTCCCTGCGCACATGGGCGTTGTGTTGTGTTCTGTGTGTGTGTGTGTCAGGTGTATTCGGTGATATCTGTGTTCTACGACAAGGTGCACCAGGGCGACGTCATGGCCGAGTACGTCCGGACCTTTCCCACTTGCCCGCCGCTGTTGCAGCTCTTCTCCCTCTTCACGCCGGTATGCACCCTTCCAT